CACGGCACGACTGGAGGATACGCAGGCACTGGCACCGGTATCACTGGCACCCACGGCACTCATAACACCCACGGCACGACTGGAGGATACGCAGGTACTGGCGCCGGGCTGACTGGCACTACTGGCAATCACACCGGTACCCACACTGGCACAGGCCACACTGGCTTCGCTGGCGGAGTTTCTAACTCTACCAATGCCGGACCTCACGACTCCAACATGGCTAACAAGTTGGATCCTCGAGTTGACAGCGATCTTGACGGTCGTGGAAACCGCCACGGAGCTGCAACTGGCGGCATCATGGGAGCTTCCGGTTCTCACGCCACTGCTGGTTCAGGAACTGCCCAAAACACCGCTGGACCCCACAATAGTGACATGGCCAACAAAATTGACCCAGTAAGCTCATTCGCTCGGACGGGTTCAGTAATTGATAGCTAATGAGATTGGATATAGAGAGTCGACAGCGACCGTGACGGATCAAAGACTTTTGGAGGCAATAAGACTCATGCGTAAGCGTCCGTCCCTCAGGTGAATTTAAATCTTTTCATTGCACCAGCAAAAGCTAACGAAGACAATGCAGAGGCAACCACCATCGCGATCCTAGTGATGCCTCTCAAGTTCCACCGTCGGTCTTTGCAGCTCATCAGGGCGATCCACAGATCATGCATAACGATCAGAAGCATGATCATGCCAGACGTCATAGCGTGTCTTATCAGGATAAGCTTTCGGGCATTTGATCCTTTTCTCGTTGTTTTTAATCTGATACCCGAAGGGCATCCTCGATGGCTTTGAAATCCAAATGGCACTCCTTCCGTTGCTGGTCTTTGCTGGCTTGTATACTAGTTCATAGCACTCTCACGATAAATGATCAATAAGAAACTTCATAACATTAAATCATCTGCTCTGTGATGAATATGTGAAATAATAGAATGCACTGCTACACCTTTTAAAAGCGAGTGATTTGGAGTGTTTATAGATAGTTGGGATACTATCAGAGTAAAGTATTATGTTCATATATCATAATTAATTCAAAATAAGGAATGACTTTAGGCGGTACACTTGATGGTCGTATTATTTAAATATCATAACCCTGAAGGATTTATAGTACGCTTATCTTTAATCTCAAGGTAGGGAATTTTAAGTACCCCTCAACTATGGGATAAGAAAAGGGGGGCGTAATTGCTATTGTCACCCCGTGAAATTACTCGGGTCAGAAACCTCGGCACCCCACGCCCCGGCCCGAGCTTCACTCACCCCAGCCCACCTTTAAACCACAACCACAACACCATAAGTCTTCCAAAACAAGTATGACAATCAACGTCCTCATAATTGGCGCCGGCGCCGTAGGTGCCTTCTATGCCTCCCGTCTTGCCCTCGCTCCCTCAACCCAGGTCTCCGTGATCTGTCGATCTAATTACGCTGCCGTCTCCCAGCGGGGGTTTAGTGTTAAATCACCTAAATATGGCTCCTACACATTTACTCCTCATCGGACATTCGCAAACCGACAAGAAGCAGTTGACTCTGGTTTGCTTTGGGACTATATATTAGTAAGCACGAAGGCGCTACCGGATGTTGTGGACGATTCAGAAATTTTGGGGGGTTTGGTTAAGGAAGGCCGGAGTGCGATTGTGCTAGTGCAGAACGGGCTGGGGGTCGAGGAGCCGTATAAGAAGAGGTTTCCAGGGACGACAGTCTTAAGTGGTGTTACGATTGTTAGTGCGGCGCAGACGGAGCCTGGAGTTATAAAACATAATCGGTGGACCAGGATTAGTGTTGGCCCGTATCTCCCTGGCGCAATGGACGGCGCAATGGCAACAAGGAGTGACGGCGAGAAGAAAGCCGTTGAGATTAATAGGAAATTCGTGGAGCTATTGAAAGCAGGCGGAGTTGAAGATGCGGAGGAATACTCCCATGCTAAGTTACAGATGGTGAGATGGCATAAGATCGCCATAAACGCCAGTATGAACCCGTCTTCCGTTCTTTCAGGCGGCTCAACGAATAACGGTATGGCCAATGATCCGGAACTCGGCCTCCATCTCAAAGGCGTAATGGAGGAGGTCCTCAGCACAGCACCAAAAGTCCTGGGCTGCGAGCTGCCGAAGGAGTTTGCTACCCCGGAACAGATCCTGAGGAGTACGCAGCGGAATACGAGTGGGAGTAAGCCGAGCATGGCATTGGATTGGGAGCAGGGGAGGAGGATGGAGATTGAGGTTATTTTGGGGAATCCTATTAGAATTGCGAGGGAGAAGGGGATCGAGATGCCGAGGTTGCAGAGCTTGTACGCCTTGCTTAGGATGATGCAGGAGAATAGAGAAAATAGGCGGAAGGAGGTAGGTAAGTTGTGATGATGTGGGTGAGAGCTGCGTTAGATTAGATATTGCTGAGCGTAAGATATCATGTTTGTGTATAACTGTATCGAGGTGGGGAATCAACCATACATCTTCGCTTGAACAGCGAGGCTAATGTTACCAAGTTATCTTGGGACTAGATTGTTAGAAGCGCTTTCAGTGAAGCAGAGGACAACATGAGTAGCGTTGGTATCATCACTTTTGAGCTGTCAAAATTGATTTTCTAAGTGTGGCCAACCCTCCGGAGAGCCTCTTCGGAATTCGCAACTCCCTCCTGGAAGCCGACTGCTTTTGCCAAACTCCTCGCCTCGTCGAACCGCTTTCGTGCTTCCGCAATATTCCCGTCCATCTCTGCGAACTCACCTAGATTGTGCGTCGCAACTGCACATCCAATGTCGCATTCTTCGGTTCTTTCAGGCGGTTTGATCTTGGCTGCCATTGCAATAGCATTCTCGGCCCAGGCTCGGCCGTTGTTGATGAGTTCTGGTCGTGATGCAGGCGGGTGGCCAGGTGTTGGGGGTGGGACTTGTTGCGCGAGGGAGATTGAAAGATTGTTCACTGGCTAGGTGAGCAAGGAGATTTGAGCCATATTAGGGCTGGACTTACTTAATACAGCTGTATGACAGCTTGAAGGTGGGGATAAGATAATGGCTTGGAGGAATAAAGGGGCGGCGAGGTAGTGGAGGTTCTTCTCCTCGTACATGTGCGCAAGAACTGGAATCACGGTTAGCTGTGAGACATATGATATCCATATAATTTCACTTACACTCTAGTGAACTACACTGCTCCTCCACAGAAAACCACTCTCCTTCCTCTGGCTTTACGCCCTCCTTCTCTCGCCTCTGCTGCTCCCTTAGAACAGTCTCGACAGCCCAAACCAGCCTGTCTTCCGCCAGTTCCTTCTCTAGAACGTACTCATTTGCATATAACTCGGCCAATTTGACGCTTACACGGACTGTCGTCTTCAGGATCCTAGTTTTTTTGGCTTCATTGCCGGGCTTGTCGCCAAATTTTTCCATCCACTTCAAATTATCCGACTTGACAATCTCAAGAACGTCAATGGCCCTGTGATATTGTTGTACCTTCTCCATCAATGCCGCCACTTGGATCCTGATGCCGATTACTTCATCCGAGAAGGGATCCATTCCAATCTCGTCCGCAACTCGTAGTGCTTCCTTGTAATACTTGAGAGCAAGTTTTGTATCCGGGGCCATATTTGTGTAATACAGAGCTTTGCGCATCTGCTTCGCCACGGGCTCGGGGAATTTGTGGAAGGCGCCAATGATGTAGTTATGATAGAAGACATTGGTGTATAGGAGGCAGCCTGAGCTGATTATAATACTGTTCACCAAATGGTTAGCCATTCGTTTCGCGGTGATGGCAGTGTCAGCAAGGCTACGTACAATACAACAGCTGTTGTGACTGAAAAGGGGTTTTCCCTCCATAAGCGTGCAAATGACGAGGCCACGCTCCTCTTTGGTTCGGATTGATACTGGCGTCTCTGTTGTCTCATCTGGCATGATACTGGATTTCGTCGCGGGGCTGTGAGCTGGTGTAGCTGTTGACGTAGGCATTGGGCTGCGCGCCTAGGCGCAGGACGAAAGGCCCTCGAAAACGTAGAGCTGATCATCCTTGGGGCTTGGTTGCATATAATTACAAGTACAATGTAGCTGGGCGAGGTTCAATTCGACACAGCCAGCAAGATGAAGCTCGAATATGAAGTGCACCAAAAGCTACGTAGGTCGACCGTACGGAGTACAGTATTGCTGCAAAGCACTCCGTAGCGTACTGTAGACCCCTGCCACTTCCGAAGACCCCAGTCGAGCCGCACGACGACCGCTTAACCCCACCAATATCTCGGAGGGCTCTTCATCGCCTCGTCATCCCACCATCGCTCGCCCGACCTGAATCCCGTTAATATACCTATATCGATTCAATCTGTTCCAATATCACCCTAGTCCAGCCCAAAGCAAATATAACCCTTTAGCTACCGTCATGGCAGGGAAGTTCGAGCCCAAGACGCCGGTCACCCTGGCCCCTCCTAAGAGCGACCCTATTTCCCCAGACTTCCTGGCAAAGTGCAAAGGTAAGTTTCGTCTCGGGATGCTCCTCATTTCTTGGATTTCCTGGCCCCCTCGTATCTGCAGGATTCTGACGCTAAGGCAGGAGAGGGCGACGGTTTGTGCTACGTTGCGATCAAGGTACTTCGGACTTTCCTGTCCTTCGCTTTCCACTTCCAACACTAACCATCTCACTTGCAGGGCAAAGTCTTTGATGTGACCGGCAACAAAGCGTATCAACCTGGGGGATCATATTCTGGTAAAGATCAACCACTTTCTCAGTATAATCCTTCCCGACTCGTGTGTAGCTCTGGGATCTACAAGTATAGAACAGAATCGGGCTGACCTAGAGTCTCTTATAACAATAGTGTTCGCCGGCCATGATGCCTCCCGAGCCTTAGCCATGACCTCCACAAAGGCCGAAGATGTACGCCCTGATTGGTCTGATTTGAGTGATAAAGAGAAAGGAGTCCTCGAGGATTGGCTCACATTTTTCTCGAAACGCTACAACGTCGTTGGCATTGTGGAAGGGGCCACCAATCAATAGCACGATTTTGGGGACGAAAGGTCGAGGTCGGATGAATCCGGCTCTCACGGATGCAGTGTAACGGCTTACGGCTTGCGGAACTTTAAGAAATGCCCCGGAACCATGAACCGATGGTGATTTATGTGCATTGTGTCGGGACTGCGGATCTGGCAAGGGTTTCACATAGAGCAGGAAACATCGAGTTGGTAACGGTGTTGTAAGCATGAAAAATGAAACATGTAGGCGCCTGTCCCAGATCTCGAGAAGCCCGCTTTGTGGCCATGCCCGCATTCACTCCCTAGCTACGGATGCTAGCCGATTGATATGGACGGCAGACAATATTGAATGGCATCCTGGTAGCCACACCGTGTAATGGCGGGAGTGTAAGCTTACGAACATCACCCCGAACTTGGACAGTGGAGCAACAATTGATTACACCCCTGTTTTGTCTTTTTGCCGTGGAATGCAATGTTTTAGACAAACTCTGTAGTATCGCCGTATTCCGGAATAACAAATTCAGCTTGGGAATTAAGAACGATTCATTTTGTTCTGAGCACCGGAGCATAAGGCTCTGCCGGCACCAAAGAAATAAAAAGGATGTGCACACCGTTACTCGTCACTTCCCAGCAGTCCACCTCATTACAGCCACCAAAACTCCAGAGGCTGCACAACTCCTCCATATGACATCTAGATTCACTAGGTACCGTCGCTCTGCAATTTAACCGCAATTTTCCGTTGCCCCCTTCTCCAATTATGTTCCTTCTTTCATCTGCAAAAGTGCAGTCATATGGCAGTTCAGCATTCTACCTTCGTCTGCTGCCTCCACTACCACCTCTCTTAGAATTCTCCTCATGCTGCATAGCATCTCTACAAGTCTGGCAAAGGGAGTCCCGGCCCCAGCATTGCTTCACGGCCCTCACACCATAGCACTGGTGATACGGGTCTGAGCGGGCAAAGTGGCAGTAGGACAGCAGCTGGCTAGTAACATGGCCGCATGTGAAGTGGAATTCTTCCCAGTCGCACATTGTCGTCGCCTTGGGTATTCGGTAACTAAATGGCCGAAAAGTTTGTTAATGGTGGGTTCTCTACTGTTCAAGAGTTCGATTAGGTCTGAAGTGAAGCTGACCTGATATTGGGATGTGCTGTGTTGAGTGGGCGTGGCTTAATCCGCCAAACTCCGATGTGGATTGATTTCAGACCACAAAATGACGCGGCAGTTTAACGTTACACTAGTGTTGACCGTGGCTGTGAATTTGTTGGGGTTCTGTGTAATAATAGCAAGTATGGCTCCGAGTGTGGATCTAAATTGCTGTTAGTGGGTCATCTCTTGGTCCTGATGTTCATAGTTGGACTCACTGAGAGCAGAGTTAAGCCTGTTTTCCGATATTAAAATTGTCCAGATATAAAAATGGCGATGGCTACCCGAAATTAAGAGCAATCAGGATTTGATGATCAAGGTCTATGGAGAACTAGAGAAATGGAGAGCTAGCCCAGCACTTTATATTAATTCACACAATCTACGTACTGTTGAGCAAGTGCTCTAAGATGTTTGTTTTGACGCCTTATGGCTGCTATCTCACCAATAGGCGCATCTATCTGCATCTGCTCGCTGATGATACTCTGCCGCAGTTTTGTTTCTTAAGCAATCCTTGCCGAATGTGTAGATATTCATACCTACTGCAGTTGAGGCGATCCAGGCTGCTTAGGTGCTGATAGCTGAGTCGTTATTCTGCTAACCTGGGACATTCTCATTTTGCATCCTGCAGCGGATCAGCCGGTTGGTGATCCCGGCTCCAACCAAAGGATCAGGGGTTATCATAGGAGAATACGAGTTCCTGTCAGCAACGCTGGTTGGGAGGCATATCTGTTACCTACTTCCGTCAACTAGAATGGGGCGAGCTTTAACGGGATCTCTGACTGGAGAATTCCAACGGCGAAGATGTAACGATTTCACAATTCCGCGAATGAGTCAATAATGGCGCTGCTGGTGGTAATACGAAAAGGATTGGTGTTGAAACAGTGGATGAAGAGGCACGTTGCCGCTGCTCTAAAGCCCGACACATGGCTGGAGTTGGCCAATTGAGCAAGCTAGACTTCCGGATCACATTCCTGAGCAGTAGGGAAATACTGAGATGTGATCAGAAGTATGAGAACGTCTGTACTCAAATAGTCAATGAATCTGCTATTGATCTAGACCTCATCACACATTCTAACGCGTAACCCGGTTACTGGAATCACTTGTGTGGCGAGAGGCTGATATTTGGCGAGGTGTGATTTTTGTGTAACACTTGGTTAATGTGGCAGGCCCATTGTGGACTGACATGCAATGCATGTGTCTTCTGATTGCTGGTGTTTTCTTATACAGCGTGTGTGGTTCGCAGACGGGCGCTAACAACAACTCAGGGTTGAGCACATTCGGGTGCGTCTCGGCCCGGTCCTATGAACGCCGGGCGAAAATGCCAGTGTCATATCTGATCGAATGTTTTAGTAATGTTTGCGATTCGTCGACATTCAATGGCTATCTGCGCGGAAGATGTCGAAATCGTTAGTGGCAAATTGGGTGCTTAAGTGGCACGCCAAAATTCCAAATTGTGCACGCCTCCTAAGGGTCCTATTCAGTGTCCCACCCAACATGCATTGTGCTAAAAATGGCCAACTATACCCCAAGCTGTCAAGCTGATCAGCAAACATCTCACTCTCAACGACGGCCTATCATAGTGCTTGAATGACAGCCAAAGTAAACTGATGAGCACGTGGGAATACCCACCAAACGTCAGGCTCAGGCGGTTTAGCCAATAAACCATACCAAAAAAGCCAAAAAAGCCAAAAGAAACAAGCATGTCAATGTGTTAAAAGGTGGTGAAGATCTTTAGCAAGCCCATCCATTCTCCCGGGAATATGCCTGTACATCCTGTCGTAAGCAGTCTTGTGTCTCAGCAAGAAGGCCTTCCACGCAGGAAGCAGGCGAGCACGTAAGAATAGATCCCTCAAGGCCGGATCGCTAATAAGGAAGCTTAAAAATACGCCAATTCTCGCCAAATGCCGCATTTGTAAATGACTGCTGCTGGTGGCTGCGCGGATATTTCCGAGGACGAGTTGAGTGAGCTCATACTGGCTGGTAAGAGTATGGAGGAGCATAATTGATTTGGTGTTAAAAGATGATGGGCAAACAATATGAGCAAACGTTGAAGGGAATGGGAATTTGTTGTTGATGCTAGACAATTACTATCAAAGGTTAGCCAGCCATAGCCATTAAGTGTTGGGTTGTTAGTGGTTGACCATAAAATGGCCTTTATCTATATTTACAAACGCGTGGTTCTAATGGGATGCTATGTATTCTCCAAACTGATTGTACTTCTCCAACTTCTCCATGCTTTCTTTTTTAATGGCGGACGCCATTGTAGATCCTGCGAGAATCTGATTGGAATCCTCTCAGCCAGCCAACATCTTATGCACTCCTACGGAGTATCCTGAAGCTCAACTTCATCACCAAGGGTCGCCAGGGCCAGACCTTGTCGGCATTTAATCATGCAGTGATGCTAAGCCACCTGCTTTGAGGATCCCTATCCCCCACATTGCCATTTGCGGTTATCTCACAAAAAGTGGATAGTACTCCGGAGCTGCCTCCGTAAGGTCAACACATTTATACCTTCGTACTACGTTGGCGTATTTGACGTACTAAGTAACTCGGGTCGGAAGAAAACAATCGGGCTGCTTTACCAAGCGGAGGAATCGGTTAATGCCATGGCGGAATGGCTGCCACTCACCCAACTTATCATTTTATGAAAGTAGGGATATTATGTAGAAGGGCCGCAGCCATCTACTTGATGCCAGCCGATAACAATACGGAAAGAGGAAGAAAAGCGGACCGGGATTTCCAACAATCAAATTTATGGACTGGACGTAGCAAGGATACCATATTACCGATAACTAATATAAATGAGAGTAAATTAGCTAACCACCTGCTCTGAGGGACAAGACCAGAAGTCATGTAAATATTGCAAGTTAGTTTAACTGCGCAAACTAAAAACCGGGTGTAATCTGGGATCCAGTTATAGATCCGCTCTAACTCCCGGTAGTAAATTGAGGTTATAGACCAGAGTATCGTTGCTAGAGTATATTAGAATGGAGGTATCAGAAATTCCATGCCATTTCCTATAAATGACTCCGTATTATTCTTAGGGAATGGATGAATCTTACCGCTACCTATATTTCTATCACTAGAGTAGCCATAAATTGGACCCTTCCCGAAGGCTCCAACATCCCACAAGTTTATTTTACATCACCATAACCACGATTTTGCATGAAATTTCTACCATACATATCTAATTTAGCCGCCTCGTGTGAATGACAGACAAGGTTTTCCCGTTGATGTTATAATTCAATCCAATTCGGAGCCAGGGGCCAGCGGGTAGCGGGAGGCAAGACGGGACGGGACGGGATAATCTCGTGCCGTGCGTCGGCCCGACGCACGTGCCTTCAGGGTTTACTTGCCTCAGGCCCCATATCAACACGCCTGGATTAGGACGTCGCAGAACTCTTATCAAATTCTTAAATGTTATATTTCCAGTCTATCTTCAGCTTCAGCTTCATTTTAATTCTCATCATCTCCCTCGTGCTCCTACCCTCTTGCAGAGTGACAACACACTGTGTACTCTCGGGCGTGGGTGGCAATTGAAATGTCTGAGTGCTGCCTGATCCGCCTCGGTAGTCCGCCTTACTTCGTGCTTTTACTTTCTGGTCCCTCTGGTCGCGCGCTCACGCCTCACTCTTTTCCCTCTTCTTCTCCAAAACCACTCCGTTACCCTTCCAAATCTTGTACCGTATTTGTGCCCTTCCCCGTATTGTTTCACCGACTAGAGCCAACAGCTGGCTGTTCCTATCGCAGCCGTCCCCTTGGACGCGATCGCCCGTGTTGTGGCAGTCCACCGCTGCATTACCCGGCCACCAAGTGCGCGCGTCAGTCAGTCGTCCATCCATCCATCCCGCCCATGCAAAAGAAATATAGTCACTTCCCCACGTCTGCCTCGCCGACCCGCCCTGCGAGCCAGATCTCCACACGACCATCTTAACAGCGTCGTGTTCGGATTTCGGATACCTACCTAGGTGGTTTGAGCGTTGCCTGCGTGTGTGGGTGCAGCGCCCGAGTGTCCTGTACATCGCTCATGATTCATTTTCAGTACCTTCTCGCTCCCTTTAAAGAGCCGTGACGGGCGGAATCCATCCGGTTTCCCTCGAAGCCGACATTTTCCGAGCGGATTTTGAATGAGAAAGCATCGGTTTGGCGGTCCCGGGAATGCACAATAGAACCCTCAGCTAATGTACCTTAGATACAATGTCAAGCCCCTCGAATTATCATCGAAATGGTGCCCATTCTCGCTCAGTACGGCAGGATCCTATGCTCCAGCATCTGATGGCCTTTCTGACGAGTGTAATTTCTTAGTTTTACCCTTCACTTGCTTCCATAAGCTCCGCAGACTCGGGCCAGATCTATGGATCTACAAGAGAAATGGGCCCTCCACCTTTGGATTTCCCACCACAGCCTGTTGAGATTGATTTAAATAGTTTTACAAGGACTCTACCGAGCCCTTCGACAGCTGGATCCAACCACTGGGATCCGATGTTCCAACCCCATGCCTTTGGAGAGGCTTCATATGTATCCCCAAATATGGCCAGGGTACCGCAGCTTCAAATTGATGGTCAAGGACGTGGTCCCAAGCAAGATCCGCTTGTTCAGTGGTATGCGAGTAACGATGGTCCTTGGGTCCCCAAGGTCATCCCAGACGTAGCCCCAGCAGAAAGAATACAGGCAACACAGGCAGGTAATCGTAACCTCGTATCTTATGGGAATCAGTATCGACAACCAAATCCATCGGAAGCTGGGTCTGTCCAGTTTGGTGTTCCAAACTCGGATTCTGGATATGGGACCCGTCGTAGTGTGGGCAACACCTCCGTATTCAGTGCTGATGTTGCCGAAAGAGACCAGGACTGCCAAAGTCTTGCCGGCCATCTTGATAATTTCCAGCCGTTTCAGGGACTCAATGAAATATTGCCAGGTCGGGATTCCAGGATAAGTGATTCTTGGGCGCCTCGTCCAATCTCTATAGGATCGGATTCTTCCGGTTTGATCTGCCAAACTTGCCAGAAACCAGTCAAAACCCAATCTGAATTAAAGTGCGACGTTTGAGCTTGTCTATAGAAGTATAGCTAATTATATCTAGGAAGCATAACTTACGGCATACAAAACCTTTCAAATGCTCTGTCGATATGTGTCCACGAAAGGATGGGTTCAGCACGATCAATGACCTAGACAGGCACACCAGGAGCAAGCACCCAGGAGCTACACCAGAATCGGCATCTACGAAAACATACCACTGCTATGTTCCTGGCTGTAAATCTAGAGGCAAGACCTGGCCACGTTTGGACAATTTTAGGAGCCATCTGAAACGCGTCCACCATCATAACATGACTACAGAGGAAATCGAAGATATGATCCGACGGTAAGCAGTGACTGCCGATGTGAAGCGTGGATTGTGCTGACGAGCTGCAGCGCCGAAAGCAACGAGAGTGCAATGCTGAACGCAGACCAGAAACATGTGCCAATTGAACCCCCTTCTCAAACCCCCTGGAGACCAGCAAGCCCCGCTGTTCATGAGAATAAATTGGAGCCTCATTTGGAACCTGTCCATCCAGATAGGGTCGACTCGCCGCGGCCAGTTCCACCCAGGGAGCCTCAAATGGATAAATTGGTGACCGAACCTGTGCCACAAGAAGAAAGGAATCCTCAACCAGATATCCAACGCCCTATTACTATTCAGCTACCGGAAATTTCCCCTACTCGTACAAAGACCCCAGTGGGCAAATTCAGTGTTTTGGCCCCAGCGGGCCAGGCTAATTCGGTCATAAATGCAGCTGACAATGCAAAGCCAAACTCATCCCCAAAGGCTAGTAGTGTTCCAGCCAAGGCAGCGAGGCAGAATGATGGGGCAATCTCAGATAATCTCACCGAGGTGATCAGAGCCGTTCTATCTGGGGCTAGCATCCAGGATCCCCATGGCCAGGGTACTAATAGAGCCAGTCTACCAAATGGAAGGACGCCACTAGGGTCGAGTGATATCCTCAGCGGGCAGACTGATCATATTAAAACCGCAGACTCTCCGTGCTCAGAGACAGATTCTATTGAATCTCGGGAATCAAAGCAAGCAGAGGAAATTAAGGAAATTATCAAAACTATCCGCAACCTAGGCTATATAGTACAGAAGGAAACGACCCAACCCACAAGACAGAATTCAGGATCAATATCTGGTAATAGAAGCAGCAATATCGTGAGCTGCAACAGGTGCAATAAATTCCAAGGCCGGCCTTGCGAGCTGAAGTACGTCTCTCTATCAATACTTTGAACCATGCTAACTTATGCCAGAAAACATATGAAACGTCACGATAAGCCGTATGGCTGCACATTCCTGGAGTGTGGGAAGAGCTTTGGCAGCAAAAACGACTGGAAGCGGCACGAGAATTCTCAGCATTTCCAACTTGAGGCATGGCGATGCGATAAGCAGCTCCCCAAGGGTGGCGCATGTTCCAAGCTGTGTTATCGCCGACAGAATTTTGAAGAGCATCTCAAGCAAGAGCACCAGATCCCTGATGACGCTGATGCTCTCACGGATGCGCTCGAAGGTTGCCGCATTGGCCGTAGCTGTGACGCACGCTTCTGGTGCGGATTCTGCGTTAAGCTCGTTGACCTAAAGGAGAAGGGCCTTGCTGCATGGACCGAACGCTTCGACCACATAGATGATCACTTTATGGGACGTAAAAGCTTCTCGAAGCAAAATATCCTGCAATGGGTCCCAGTTGATGGGAGTGCCAAGCTCGAAGGAGATTCTGGGAGCCGTCCGGATATGTCTCGCGGAAAGGGAGCCTCAGATGACCAATCTAGCCCTACCTCTGGATCTCCAAGCGGATCATGTTCGAGTGATGCTGGTGGCAGTGCAGGATGTTCACCTGACGCTACAACCGTTGAAGCTAGCGGCGCTACAAATACCAAGAGGAGGCATAGCGACGGGGATGATGGTAGCAGGCCAAAGAAGCAACCTAGAACAGCCACACCCAAGGAGGTCACAATATTTTGTGTAAGGTTCAAATGGTCTGAATTCAAGCTCTTCATGCTAATACATTAGTAGTGCCAGTGCCATATTGGACACAATCTCAGATTCAATGAATACTGCTCCATTTGTCCTGATGGCCATTCCTTCTGCGACCGCTGTTCCAGGGAACATCCGGACTGATTCTACTTCTGGGTTCTCTCTAGAGGGGCACTGCGCATTTTGACTCTTCTGGCGTTAAGTTTTTTTGGATTCTCGGATTGTTAACACAGTTATTTACAATTTTGTTTTTATGTACCAAAGATCTATGGGCTACTGGGTTAGAAAACACGGAATCGGAAATGTCCGATGGAGTAGGAGGCTCATTATTGTTTGCCACCCGGCGTTTGGTGTGCTACTCACTCTGTCCCGCAAATCCATGGCAATCTATATAATTAATAGCCTGTCTTATACGTACGCTATATTGATCGGCCTCTATATCTGAGATCATCATTCCCTGTTCTGGGATACTGATACCACGCTGCGGCATATGCGTGTCCCTTTAAACGGCCAGACCGAGTACCTCTGTAGGCACCTTATTAGATAATCATATTTTGAACATCCTCGAATGCTCAGGAGCCCCAGTTTGGGGTGGCGAGTATTTTCAGCCGCACCTGACGCCTGCCCCAATAAATATCTCTGCCCAAAGTGCCTACAATGTGAGCCCAGTGGCTTACGGCGACCCAAAGCGGCTACAATATAGCGAGGGCAAAGGGGTGTTTGGGGGGTGATTGGGCCCGAACACCGCCACTAACCAAGGAAACATATCACTCGTCAAGAGCCACCACCATTCTTCCTCCACCTCCAGACTCCAGCCACCACGTCAGAGTCCGCATCTCGGTGTCCCTGGGGAGTAATAGTCTACAACCACACCAGGAACTACGCGACCGCGAGGCAGAGCCATGGACTCCTTGTGAGGCTGCTACGAGTGCATAAATTTGCTCAAGGGCGAACCTGCGTTCGTCCCGCCCTTCTTGTCAACCTGTCATACTGTGACAATTCTTTTGGTATGCAAACCAATCCATCATTCCATGGAGAAGAGGGAGGTTCCGCGCCCACAGCCGCCGGCGCCCAAGACTTGCGATAAACTGCGATGGCCATGGGCTGCTGAATCAGAGTGGTGCCCTCCATGGCGTTATCGATACGCACTTTGATACTCCCTAGCCGCTGGGATTCCCCAATGTTTCGTTCCCGGTGTTCCGGTCGTTCCTTTTGCGTAATCTGGGACACCTCAGAGGCCCAGCGGGCCCCGATTTAGAGAGGGTTTCCAGCCATGTTTGGGGGCTGCAGTTGAGGTGTCGATATCCACGACGCGGGTCAAGCGCCGAGCGTCCTGTTTCCAGCCTTCAGAAGAATGTTGTTGTCCTTTGTCCACGACGCCGGGACTCTTCACCGGGGCAAACACTGCATTTCCATATGGCCCTTGGAGCTTTGCTTTCCTCGGGCGGTGAACAGAATAGCTCTTCAGAGAATGCCTCTTCTCATGGAAAATCGAGGTGCTGCCTACGCTGCCTTGTCCGCCTTGCGCCGTGTAACCAGTTCGTGGTGTGGCCATTGGATGGCTGCCCCGGGCGTAGACGATCGCTCATCCGCCTGGAAAAAGGAAACATAGGCTTTTCCTGCTTCTTGATCGCCCGACAGACGCAGCAACCGGTGGAGCGAGCAATGCATGCCCCGTAGATGCGCGCATGGCGCAGTCAGGTCCTTATCCGCCCTCTGACCCTCCAGGCTTCGAACCCCACCAACCGAATCCCCAGCGTCCTGCATCGAGCAGCCCTCCACAATGCGTTCTCTGCATGCCTTTCCCAGGCCAAGTTGCTCGAGTCGGTTCTGGTCCCAGACAATGCGGCTCTGCCCAACAAATCATCAAGGCGGATTGCTTTGTAGTCAGTTGTCCATTTTGTGTAAGTTGTGTTGGGGCTTGGCTGCACTTTATCGTCTTGTCCCTCACTGGCTTTCTCCAAGGAGAACTGCGCCCGATTCATTATTTGACTTCGCCCCGGATTTCTGCTTCTCCCGAAATTCCATGTTGTGTTTGACCTCACCGCGAGACCATCTTGTATGTATTGTGCATAAAACATATTACTCCTGTGTGAAGTCACTTGTTTGTTTGTTTAAAAAAGGTCGTTAATCACCTGCTGGACTTTCGTAAGTCTATCTAGTCCTTAAACACGCGTTAGCGCGCTGATGAGGAGGCAGGATTTCACCGCCCAAAAGGAAACCAAAAAAAGATTCAGTTTTTGAGACGTCTCAAAACCTTTGCATTCAAACTTCTACACCTAGTTCCACAACTTTGATAAGCGCCGTGGCGACTGCTCAGCGGCGGCCACCTCCCCTCGACCTCGACCTGAACCAGACTATGGCGTATAATATGCCCGGATCATCGGCCACCCAAGGCCCTCCCTTCTTTGAAGAGATGATGAATGCATCTAAACTCTACACTAATGACGACTATCTCTTGGAGGTCCAGAATTCCTGGATAGAAAACATCGACCCACTACTCCGCTTGCCCACTCAAGCTCAGCAGGTTTGGCAGAGCCAGCAAGAGCCCCTTCAACGGTTTATGACACAGCCCGAAAGAAACCTCTTCACGGCCGGCCCGGTCCATCATCACAACCAGAGACTCCCACAAGCTTTGAATAGACCAACAGCCCCAATATCTACTCTTCCACAAGCTTCCCGTCCACGGATGACCTCTCCTTCTCCTTCCCAGGAACAAACATCGACAACTTGCAGCAGCGCAAGAAGCCCGGGTCCTGATATGGATTGGTATAACGAAGCCCAGTACTCCCCCATGGCTCAACCCCGAGATGACTACTCCCTTCCCAACGCAACATTTTACCTTGGCCAAGCATTTCCAGACCCATGGGCCAGGGCATCAGAAGGTCAAGTCTTCTCCCTGCCTCAAGTTTACTCCTGCCTGCAACATATCCAAGGATTGCCCGATCTTGAACCTGAGGAAGCCACTTTTGATCCTGACGAAGGCTTCAGTGCCATAGAGGTGCAACCCGAGTACGCCATCGAGGTAGATAGCGGGCACCTAAAGAATGGAATAACCAACGACTATCCTTGCCTGGTTGACGAAGGCATTGGAACATCGATTAAGGACCAATCATCACCAGAAGCGACTGAATTCCCGCTGTCCCAGACCGACGTCAGCTCTGAGGCCGATGCAGATGCCGAAGGGGAAGACGACTTTGAGCTCCCAATTGTGGACGCCATTTCAGACCCCGAATACACTCCCAAGTGCCGCCCCCGCAAACAACGCCCTTCCAGAAACACATCTCTGAACGCCACCAAAACCGGCCGCATCACAAAACTCGCAGCCCCGAAATCTCGCAGCAACCTACATAACTGCAGGCTCTGCAACCACTCCTGTAAAGATGCACAGGGTCTACAACGCCACGTTGCTGCTACACATACCCGAGCCTTCACCTGCGTCTTCTCCTTTGCCGGCTGCCCCGCTACATTTGGCAGCAAGAACGAATGGAAGCGCCACGTCTCATCTCAACACTTGAATCTCCACTCATGGATCTGCAACGTCGGTATTTGCGCTCAGTCCAAGCGGTCAAAATCCTCATCTGGCTCGGCATCAAGAGGGAGTGAATTCAATAGGAAGGATTTATTCACCCAGCATTTGAGACGAATGCATACCCCGGCCCACCTTAAGAATTCAACCAAGAAGGACAGAGAGTGGGAGGACAAACTTAAGGACCTAGGCAGAACATGTATGGTGAGCAATAGGCAGGCCCCCACTAGGCTTGGATGTCCTGTCGAAGGGTGCGGCACCATATTCGAAGGTAACGGGGCGTGGGATGAGAGGATGGAGCATGTCGGCAGGCATCTTGAAGTTGGTGCGAAGAATGCGGATAGTGAGGCTGTGTACCAGGAGAATGATTACTTGCTTATTCGATGGGCTGTTACCGAGAGGATTATTGAGCCCAAGCCTGGTCATGCTAGGGGCTATAGGCTTGTTATTGGCGGCGGAGCTTCGGTAGGAGATGAGGATGCAGAGGGAGAGGATGAGTGATGGGTTTTGGGTTTTGGCTGACGATCATGAGTATGATTAATGTATTTTTGTGATTACATCGGTTTTCTCTTGCATGCTTTTATATCATTCGACTAATACCCCACACCAGCAAGGCTAGACGGTGGGTTAGGATGGAACAATAGCACATTTGGCAGGGAGTGTACACCTTATCGCGAAATGAATGAATGATGGATGGTAGTACGACCTTATATTTCTGCTTCCCTCTCCAAGATATGTTGGATATCGTTGCCTTTATGATGCATAGCTCTATGGAAAGAAAGTGGTGGTTATTTGTGAGATTAGATAGAAATTCTTATTTTAGGTGTAATTGAATCACGAAATGGATAAACGCCAAAATGAATTTTGTCAAATTGTTACTCCTACCACTGGAGATAGAAACTCAATGCTGCGGATTTCTTTTATATATACGTTATACCATTAATTGTTTTAATAGATTTTGTTAAAGGAAATACGAAATTAAAATCAAAAGTCCAAGTCTATGAAAATTGCTCATTTGGTAAGTCCTATTGTACACTATCACAAACCCCCTCCCTACCTATCATTTAGCGCCTCAGGCTAGCTCTCTCTCTACCATCACCAGCCTCTTCTCAGCTTGTTCTCAGCCATTTCTCGGGAGTATTGAGCTACTAAATTCTTTGAGGCCTGTAGACGACTTTTCTGGTCTAGGGCCGTAGCCGAGTTAACTCCATTCTTAGCTTCTTCTTCGGCGATTTCAGCCTCTAGCCTCTTTATAGAGAACATCATAATTTTCTTTTGCGATGTTTCTAATTCCTCAATAGCTTCTCTCACTTTTTGGCCCAACTCGCGCCCTTTCTTATAGCTGTTAAACAGTTCAAAAAATATCCAGACGCAAACGATGCTAATCAGGGCAATAACGATTTTAGATATCATCTTGTAGTACATACTCTAAGATGTCTAGCGGTGTAGTTGTAATGCGGTTATACGAGTTCGTGATTGTAGTTGTCGAGCAGCAAGGGGGATGATAGTAGCGATAGTAGCGATAGTAGTAGTGGTGGTAATGGTTGTAATAGTAGTGATAGTGATAATAGTTGTTGCGAAATATATGGAGATAGTAAGTATTTATAGATAAAGAGAATAAAGACCCTAAATTAAGTTAGCAAATAGTGTGTGTAAACAGCGCTGTTTAAAGCAAGGCTCTGTTTATTTTGTTTGCTTTGTTTCATTTGTTTATTTATGTCTTAGTTATGATATTTATAGCCCAACCATCATGGCGCTGCCTTGGACGGATTTGATGACCTTCCTTTGTAATTATTCTCGGCCTATATTACTCAATCCGCCTTTGTTGAACGGACAAGACCTGCTGCGATTAGGGAATGCGCCAAGTCTGGCGGCTTTGAAATTAAGTCTCGTGCAATTCAAGTCACACAAGTATAAGCCATCGGAGGAGATGTACTAGCATCCGTATATTTACTCTAATATTAAATAAAACTCACAGAGATCTAGCATGAATGTTGTTGAATATAAAACTCAGTAAATTATGGAAAACTTAATATTGTAAAGGCTGTAAGATATACCTAGTCGAAATTGCCTGCTTGTCTCATATACGAAGACTTATTCTCTAATCCACTTCCGCTATGACTGGTTCAACTACTGAATCCTGATGGTCTAGTATGGATGCTCCCAACTTGTATAGCCTATCTAGCCTTATAGCTTCCCTCCTCTTCCATTCTTTATTCCATTTTCGCACCAAATAAATGGTAGCACCTAGGAGGAAGATCAATAGGGGAACCAGAGAAGAATTATCCCAAAAGTATAGACGTAACATGAGAAAGGATATGGTCCCACCTATTATCAACGTATCTGGGGTGAGATATCTTGGACTACTGGGTGGCATGGTTGCACAGTCAAGTATGCTTGTGGGCTTGTTAAATTGGGGATTGATAGTGAGGGTTGATGGCTAAATACTGGGAAGGAGGGACGGGGTTTATAACCTTTATGGCTACAGATGTTTGAAAAAACAGAGGTCGAATGGGCACTTCGAGACCACCTGTTTATCATCCATTATGCCAATGTATTCGTTGAAAGATGAACCTTAATTGTCCTATAAGATCTAAGATACGCCTAGCTTACTTACGTGCCAAGGACAGCGGTAAGCTATAAGCGCTCTGTTTAACTAGAGGTAGTTAATAAGCAGGTTTATTTCCCTTTAATGCACTTTTTCCCTTTATAATTTGTCCAAAATTTGTGGTTTGTACAGAAATCAAGTCACTTGGAAAAATACGGATACAAACTGCGAAGCGAGAAAAGGGGGGAAGGTCACATGACAGTAGTAGATTCCTAGGTACTAATTCCCCACTCCGTGAGGATCTCTTACCTGCAAATTATGTAACACCAATATATCTTTTCCATACTTAATTAACTAAGTTAATTCAACCTAATTTTAATACCAAAGTTTCCTGGTATTAACATCTCGGGCGCACCTTTGGGTAACGATAAGTCTGCGTTGATACAAGCAAATCAATGAAGGGGCTGCTGGTCTACTGGTCTACCCATCCACAATTCGCCGCCTCGAGTTCAAGGTCAAACTCACCTGGAGTTAACCTAGCCGGAGTCGGAGGGCCACGCCAGAATTTCCAACCGTCTGGAATTCGCCAGCGTCCGATCAATAAATTGAGTGCATCACGCAACGGATCCAGAATTCGGCCAATAACAACGCCTGCCGTGGCAAAACTAAAACTTATAAGCAGGCCTTGGATGATATCAGAACCTGGCCCATGAATAATCTTCCCTCCAAAAACAAGTAACAAGTCTGCTAAAATTGCCATTATAATTAAACCATAGGATAAAGTCCTGTTATCGCAAGGACAAATGGACTTGTGTACTTTGGCAAACATTGAGCTGACGGATTTCTTGATTGTGGAAAGGCTTACTGCCACTCTGCTAAGCATCGAGCCTCTTTTTCCCCCCAAGCGTTGATAGGTTTTGCTATCGCGTTAGAACTAGTTGGGTAAGAACCTACAACAGTGATTATTTGCGAAGATCTAGGGGCCAACCACCAAAAGCTGTAGATCAAAATTTCGGAAATCAGGAGCGAGATAGAGGTTTATAATCGCTGAGGATTAAAGTGTTAACTTGTTCTCAAAACAAATGTATTGTTCTTTCAGACTTTTAACCATTTTCTTCTGTTTTTGACGTGAATAAAGAGAATAACAACTTCCGAGAGACTTCCTGCCTAACGGCCCTTTGTTATTTCTTCAGTACAACTGTAACCTTAAGTAAAGGTATCCTGGATCGGAGAAGTGATTGTCCATGCTGGATGGATGGATAGATAAGCCCATATTTCTTCCGAGTATGCATCTTCTAAAACGAAATGTAGGACACTCTACACATGTCCATCATCCTGAAAGGCAGTGCTAAGGAACCGCATTATGAACGTGGGAGTAAACTTAAGCTAAGATTGAATGCGCCTTGGTCACCATTTAGAGCTAAAGGTTTTGTGGCTTCGTTGGAAGTACCAGAGCCATTTGAGAAGTTGGGAGCGAGTTTGAAGGCCCGGTATGTAATGATGTCGATAGCTGGAAAGCTCGAGCGGTGTCTTTTGAGGGAGGATGTGTTTGCGGGAATAACTTGAAGAGGAACATGTAAAAGCTCTTGGGTTTTTGCGATATAATCCGCGATAAAGAAAGTTCAGGATACACAATCAAGTTCACTGGAGCTCAATTTCAGCCAACAGTCTATCTATCTACAGACTACAACCTTGTTGGCGACTATTCTGGAACCCTCCTCTTCAGACCTGCCGTGTCCCCAAATGAGTAGGGGCTTCGCTACTACAATCAAAATACTCTCATAACCGCCCTCAATTATTATGGGCGTGTTTCAGCACCTAAGACGGTGCGGCCGAGATTGTTGTTGGTGTTGGAGTTGGTGTTGGCACCAGGCCGGGTCGCTTTGCGGAACTCCCTATATGGCATCCTCTGAGCCACACGTTCACAACCTAGAATAACCGCCCCCAAATGTCTTCCCTGCTACATACACAATTTGATGCGGCTATGTGTGGTGATTAAGCTAGAACTCATGCCAGCGGTTTGAGTTTATCGTCGGCATCAAGCTCAAGTGCCACTTGTGAATCAAGGCTCGGTGTTCACAGTTCAAAGACTAAAATTCAAAGTTAAAACTAAGACGCGAACGCAACATGACAATTCGTAAGATTTATCAAGGTTTAAGGCTATCTCGTTTATTTTGTGGGAAAGCCTTCGAGGAAATGCTGTGATTTACCGTTTTATTAAATGCAATAGTAACAACTGCTATAAATGTGAGCTTATTAGAAAGACCTCACGCTATATTCACCACAAAAATTTCGTTTTCCCCATCTTTAGTCATATTCCAAACTCCTGTTCACAACCTCCATGTCGCCAAGTAGGGCAGCCGTCTCCGGGCATGCCTGCATACTCTCGCAGAACTTCCCGCCTAGTCTCTTGATAACGTTGCACCTCTCCTCCATCGTCAGCGCGTTATACAAACCCAGACCCCTAGGGGAGAACTTTTCCCAGCCTTGGGTGTTATCGAGCACACATACGCCACCGCTTTTAGGAAAGGCTGTAGTGAGGTTCACATTGATGTCTGGCTCGACGCAGTGGTCGATAGACTCACACCAGTTAATATGTTCAGGCCAGCGAGGAGGCAGCGACCAGAAGCTGGCGCCGCACATGCGTAGGCGTGTGCAGAATTCGTCCTCCTCTGTTTGATTAAGTGACCGTTCCGTGTCTTGGAAGCGGTCAACGCCGATGGATGATAGCTCAACTGGCGCGAGATCCTGTATCCAGACACCTTCGTTCTGCCAGCAAGCGACCTTGCCATACGCTATACTATAGCGCTTAATCGGGTCAAAGGGCTCGACGGGCTCCTCCGGCCAGTCATCCTCCAGCCAGGACATATCGTTCAAAGAGGAAGGTTTAGTCGTAGTTGGATTAAAGTGTGGACCGAGAAGGAAGAGCAAGCTGTATATTGAGATACAGACGGTAAAGACGATTGTATATATTGCGATGTGTCGAGAACGACTCGAGCTTGGAGGTTTGGAGGCAGGAGGCACCTCAGCCATCGGTACATCCGTCGACTTTTCGTCGCGATCGCAAGCCATAATTGATTTGTTGCAATGATGACTTCAAGAAATTTGCAGTACAGAAGCTGCTGTATGAAAAGGAGGTTTCGGGGTAGGAAGTTAAAGATATGGTAGTTCCATGAGATGCGGGAGATCAAGCCACGTGGTACTAATATACTATGAAAGGCAGTTAGGTACTTAATACCTCCAGGCTACATAGCTATGTTAGATTCAAGACATGGGGAATGGCAACTCCAACGCCAAGAGGAGCTCTGCCACAATGGCGCTGACTGATAACTTAAGCTTCTCCGTTGCCGAATAGGGGGCTGTGTCCTGTGGCCTACCAACAGTGACCAATTACGTACAAGTTACCTAGGGAGGTATTGAAGCCAACATCTGCTGATCGTAGTATCGGTTGACATTACGAAGTACCAACAATATATGATGATATGAATATAACCGTTGGCTCGTACTACCCCAACAGATATCCGTGGCTCTTAATAGCAGCTAGCGAGGCCTTTGACGTATGCTCCAAATACCAACATTCATCAGTGGCTCACTAATGGTACCGACTGGGGCATGAACGGGCATATGAGGCAAACTTGAAATCTGGCGATGATGGCCTCAGCTTCACGTTCAGGCTTCAGCTAGGGGCGGAGGACGGCAACTTTGACACTGGTTTTAGCGACGAGGACACGGTTGCACCTCCTATTTGACCAATCTCCTAAAATGCGAATGGATTGAATGGATCCGATACAAGTGTTTTCAAATTTCAATACTTTCTGCACCTCTCTAAAAGTACGTTCTTTTATAGATATTGATTCTAAATGGAAACCATATATTTATAAAGACACCACCCTGGAAACAGGGGAAGAGTGGGTCCCAAAATCCAACCAATAGGCAGCACCCTATTTACTATCGTGGGACCCCCACCGCCCGCTCGGCAGAAACAGACCTCGGCTTAACCAAGGTTATGGCATCAAGTCTCCAACGCGCTGAAATCCTTCATTTCTCCTTCACATCCACTTCACGTCACCAGCTTTCACTACAGCTCCTTAGCCAGTTACCTCCTTGCGCCCAGTCAAATCCCGATACCATAGTCAAGATGTCAAAACAATTTACCCCCGCCGAGGTAGCCTCGCACAAGGATGCCGAGAATGGCATGTACATCATCATCGATGATGGGGTTTTTGATGTTGCCGGTATGTCTCCTCTGCCCTTTATTTGCTCCTATTTCTATGCAATACCAATCTACGCGCTCTCCATTTCATTTCCCATTCCCTAGCTATATCTCCTGGAGAAAAGAAACAATGTTGGAAGTTGCTGACCAGGAAACAGGATTCATCGACGAACATCCCGGCGGAGCGAAAATCCTCAAGCGCGTCGTGGGCAAGGATGCCAGCAAACAGTTCTGGAAATACCACAATGAGGGCGTTTTGAAGAAGTATGCTGCTAAGCTGAAGGTTGGGACGGTGAAGGAAAGTGCGAAGTTGTAAGGTGGAGGAATCTGGGTATTTGTGTGAAGTGGAGGGAGGATGTAGGAACTCGGAGGGATATTGGACGAAATGAGGGACAAGTGAAATAATCCAATGATGAGATGATGCGAAGATACGATGGGGGACTAGATGGGGGACTAGATGATTGGAAGGAAGGGAGAGAAGGCTGATGTAGATTGTGCGCATATAGAGAGCACCAGCATTGTATATACGTCGCTGGTCACGATGCGAAGAAATCCAAGACTAGATCTCCTATGAATACAAGTTATAAACTTTTGCCCAACCGACCTTCACATAGCTCCCTTAATACCGTGATCCCTCGCTCCCAAAACCAAAGCATCGTGTGATCCTTCATCCCTCTACTATCGCATGGACCAAGCCGGGTGATGTCCGTCCGGGAAACATTGTAATCTTTGAAGGCCGCATCGATTGCTACGAGCAGGCTTCGATGTGTAGTTGCAAATCGGCGATTCGGCGAATATGGGCGGAAGCAAGCCGACAGAGAGGGTTGAATCTGGTTATCAGTACTGTGGCCGATATCTCAGAAGCCCGCCAAAGAAGAAGTGCGGTGGTAGTTAGGCGGTAGCAGTCCTGAAGTTCTGGCGCAGATGTTGATGAGCGTCAAGAGCCGTGGACTTGCTGCTTGTTGATATACCACTGCCGGCATATGTCATCCCTTGTAGCAATATACAAGGGGACCCGGGAGATCTCCGCCAAAAAGATGTGGAAGCGATTCCACAACCAGGCATTCCACTCTCAATCCTCAGGGCCATTCAGCGTCTCAATTCGATATCTCTCATGGCTCGATGTGTGCCTCTGGCTTGGGCCATGAGCACAGTTGTATGCAGCGGCTTTTCATCTGGCGAGAAATTATGTAGATCTTCAACATTGGCCTCGACAACTGTCGGGAGCGGGTTTGAAACTGGAGGGTGGGCGACGACGGAGACAGTCAAGAGAAGAGGGAGGATGACAATGGGTAGGATAGAATGCATTTTGAAATTAGAGATATCGAATCCTGTAATTCGAAAAAGATTTCTTAGAATTGAGATGAAGTTTGTACCTGCGTAGAGAATCGCAGACTTTGAAAGGGATGATGCAAGGGAACCTAAGCGAGGAAGAAGACAACTGGAAAGCAACGAGAGACGTGAGGGGGAATCAGCTAAATAGCACTCGCTATATCTCTATTTGCTACCAGCACTGGCTGAAAACAAAGGCTCCAATTTATCCCAATCGTGTGGGAACGTGCACACAACTGCGCCATCAAATGGCGAGATGCGCGCCACGTGCATCGCGCCCAGTCCTGATCTCCCCGAAACACGCCAGCGATGGTTCATGAGAGTTTAATAGTTCAGATGCGCTGTGGAGAAGCCAATCTACTCCGCAAACTCGTCAATTGTTTCCCATACATTAGGATTCCCCCGGCTATTTCGATGTCTCGCTCAAAAAATCCCTCGCCTGCAGTCCCTAGTGCGTGCACGGTGAGGGGCGATCTAATAAAACTCCAAAGAGATACATGAGGCTGCTCTAGCTCTTCTATCTCAAAACCATGCCGAAACGGTGTCTTTACACCCAATGCAAACGCCGTCTAGTGCAGGGCCATCCAAAACCTTATTATGTATGTACCACACAAGTATCCGAGCGAGGCCTAGTTTGCGGGACATAAGATTTGTCGTTCAAGTCATTAGCTCCCCTATCTCCATCACTCCGCACATCTCGTCGTCGTCAATCGTAACCAATATCGCCTCATCACTGTACTTGGTTTCTCCGGCTGGAATTGTTCGGCGCATCGTCCTGATCCATTCTTTAGATTCGGTTAAGTCTAGATCGGCGGACATGGCGATCCATTCTTGTTGCGGTACGGTTAGTCCAGCGATGCACGTGGCTTGCGCTTCCATATCCATTGGACGGAGTTTCTTGATGCGCCGCGGAGGTACCATAACATCACCACTCATCCTGACCCATCCCGTCTCCGATTGATATGCCGACAGTATAACTTGTGATGCTGTGAGTGTACTTTCTACTTGTGGGATGTCCATGATTTGGATGACCTGGTCTGAAAGTTTCCGGGGCGGTTGAATTGCTGCACCAATCGCCCCTCCAGGGTGGTTTTTATGGAACAGATTGGATAGATTTTGGCCATGTAGCTCGCGCGCGACAGCAATTGCGAGAGCATCACCCAATGCAATCGCCACGGTGGTAGATATAGTTGGCGCCTTGACACCAAATGCAACCTCTTCTGGAATATGTATAGGTGCGGGCAACAGGATGGTGCTTGGCCGGTGCTGGATGATCTCGCAATCTGAAGGATGAACATGGGAGGTCATAATAATAGTTGGTAATAAGGGGTCAAAATGTGGCAAAAGGGCAAGTAATTCCGATGTGCTGCCTGAGTTCGTGATCAAAAGCACCGTGTCATCATCGTCAATTGTTCCCAGATCTCCATGCAATGCTTCGGTAGGATGCAAGAACTCGGATGGGACCTTGAGACTTTTCAGCGTCGCGACGAGTTTCACCCCGATATGCCCGCTCTTGCCAATGCCTGATACCACGAGTTTCCCCTTCCTTCCTTGAAATCTGGTGATTATCTCGACGGCTGAATTAAATCCTCTTCTCGCAATAGGATCGGTCTCGTATAACTTCGTCAGGTGTGCGAGAGAGGTGGCTTCCGTCCTCAGCACATGCAGGGCATTCGATAATCTCTGGCTAAAGGTTGAACATGTTTCCTGGATATCGGGCGGGGTGATCGAGCCTAACGCATCCAAAATAGGAGGATGTTCATCGCATGGTGTGGCAGGTGACGGAGGAGACGGTGGAGGAATCGAGGGTGGGTGCGTGGAGTTTAGGAGGTAGACTTCGCTATTCTGGACCGGGTGGTGATCCAGCGCCATAACGGATAAGGATTCAGCGGACGTTGTTGGAGGTCGCAGATATGGCGGCAAAGTGTCGACAGTAAAACAATGAACACGGCAATATCGCTAGAACGAGGGGAGTCGGGTTATAGGGGTTGAAAGTTGATTCAATAGCGGCCTCCAAGAAAAACGATACAGCCAAAGCAAGGGAAGACTCTACTTGACCTTGTCTTAACCGTCAGCCCAACTCCAGGTTGGATCCAACTCGCAGGTCGGCATTGACTTACAGACGGTTATATCCTCTTATATTTGGATCCCAAAGAGATATAGCAAGATGTCAGATGCGACTATCACCTCGATCAACCCTGTATAGTAGTATGTAGTGGTGGTGGTGATGAGGGGTCGAAGCTCAGATAGAACGAAATGTGAATTTCCGTTTACGCATCACCCGGGACGAGCTGGTGTCTGAAGCCATTGTCCATGGGGAGCAGCACTGCTACTATTGTAGCATACTCAAGGAGTGATTATATAAGAGAGAGTTGGGGAAGAGAGCGAGGACGAAGGCAAATAAAAGAGGGTTGGTTGTATGTTGCTGGGCTTGGATTCGAGGATCGCGCTGATGGGGTCCGCGGCACAGATTTTCTGCCGCAATGTATCGGACGCCGGCCGCGCGACGGTGCGACATTGGCGCCAACGACACCCTCTTCACACTCGGCTACAGCTGGGGCCGAGAGGGCTTCTGCGACTAGAGCACGCAATCGTCTTGTTTCTTTATTACTATATCCTACTCTCTCCGGGTCTCCTTCCTGCTGTGGGATCTGAGCTGCGCCTGTCCCCGCAAAGTCTGTGCTGAGAGCGAGTTGCGCGAAGTGATTGGCGCCGAGGAGGCGGACGAGGGAGACTAAAAACAAACGGCATATGCATGCATTGTGAGCATCATGGATTGATTTGAAAGCAACGCCGGAGATGCGGGAGTTAGATAGCTGGGAGGGAGGCAGATTTCTAACGAGAAAAAGCACACAACCACACGAATCATAGCAGCATTTCGAACATTCCGATGGCTGGGCGCCTTTCTTACTACGTAGGCTGTGTGTCATCGCTTGTATGCACGCAATCAGTGGGATTGTCCCTCCTGGGAGTATTCGAGCATCAGCCATCACCAGTTCCCTGGGAGAGATGCATCCAAGATCCTTCGACGACCCTTCTTGGCAGGTCTATATGATTACCCCAGGTCGACGCGCAGCTAGGCGGTGTGGCAGACGGGAGTTCCTAGATAACGTCTTGAAAGAGCGAATTAAGCAACGACGTCGCACACGTGTGAAGTCGCCATATACAGTACGGATTATCAAGCAGATATCAGACATCAGATCCAATCTGATAAGATGGCGCTCTACTGTAGTGATCGACATCGTAGATCTGGGCTTTCGGGGAGTGCTCGGGATCGCAATGCCGGGCACACTGAGTGCAACCCCGCCAAATGTGACAGCTCATAATTATTGATGGCAACATTGTGGTCTTTCTAGCCCACCAGCTCTTCGTCTTGGCCAAGTTAATATTGACCCGCTACAGGTTTCGGAGGCCTTCAAATCCGCATTCCAAGCAACATCCTTGGGCAGGTTGAAACGGATCGCTTTAGTCTCCTAGATCCACAACTTCGTGGATCAACTTAACGGCTTGAGCCGGAAAGCACTTTTTGACTCCGTAGTTCGAGCTAGTAGTCACCGCCTTCGTCCCAGGTTATTTTGCGCCGCAAAGAGCTGGATATGTCGCTGAGGTGACGGAACTCCATAGTGCTCTAGTTTGTTGGAGGCTATTTCTCACCATCTATGACGGGAGGATTGCTCTGAGCTTCCAGTATGAGTCGCCTACTTTTCAGTCAGCAGTTCTCTCCAAAACTTTAGCAATTCGGCTTTGTCACGCAGCTTCCCTCACAGAATAGACTAGGCAATACGGAGTTTGCCCATTTTGAATCATGGTAATAAGCCATGTGTCTATATCTACTAGTCAAATATGTTTTCTTAACCCAGAGACTTTGATGATACTACTTGCCATACTAGTGAATAGGTAACAAGGGTTCAAACCCCCCATTGGGATAATGATACCTAGGTCCAAGTGGATTCAGCTATCCACGGGCGATATTCGTATCAAGGCCGTTCCACGATATGCATACAGCACGACTAAGGGCTCCGCCTTCAGCCCAATGATCTCATATCTTATTTCATATGTCACCCTCCTTTCTCCCTTTCAGGTCTTGCTTGGTGCTCCTCCTGGCTAAAGCGGGCGGCGGCGGCGACAAGCTCTGGTCCGGGGTAAACCCAATACCATGGCCACGTTACCTTCCAGCCTCCCTTACCCTACCTGGTCTTCCTTAGGTACCTATGCAACTTTCGATAGATTAACTTCTGCTCCCGTTTCCCTGCCAACGGGGTTGGCATATCTATCAAGGTACCGAAAGCACTGGTCACGTGATATTTAGTCACGTTCTCCACTTTCGAGCGACTGCCGACTGCCAAGGCAGCAACAAAAAGCTTGACCGCTTCCAAGGCCATGCACGTGCCACCAGAATCCGGTGCTACAGTCCGTTTGCGGGGAAGAAGTACGATGGTGCTTCCATGTCGACTAGAGAGTAATAACGCGGTGCCAACTACCAAAGGTACCTACCTACCTTAGGTATTGAGTATCAAGAAACGGACAGAGTCGTCACTTCGTACCTTACTCTCCAACGATTGATGACCGCAGGCCTTGAATGATCCGATTTGAGGCAACCTTGGACAACTTCGCCGAGCGATCCGAGCAAAACAGGCATGTTCAAGGCTACAAGGTACTGTACCTTACTGTCCATTCCACTACTCCAAAGCCGCGATGCAGCCACAACTAGGTTATAGGAGTGACAAGTGAACGCTGTAAAAATATATACTATCAAGGGCCGGTTTCCCTTCTAGTTATTTCCCTTTTCCAAGTTTCTTTCTCTTGTAACTTGCAAACTGAAAACCTCATTTGGGTCCCGTGACAGCTGTCACCCTTGCGCTATGGCATATGCCAAGCCTTAAGCGGCATAGCTCCAGCAGCGGCTTTCTACCGCTGTCATCACCAATTAATTCCCATTCCCCAACCCTCCACGCTCTACAGTCCACCTTCCATCCACTTTCTCTTCATCTCTCGCTCTGACGGTCGCCTTGGAATACCCTCACAAAGCACTGTAAGTCTCAATTGCTGTTCTCACCGTCCTCTGCGTCGTTTATACACTTTGCGCCAAGACACTGGGCACGGACTGTCGTCACCTTATCATACCAAGAGGCTGTCTGCAGATCGCAAATACCGCTCGAAGCCGTCTTCGCTCAAGCTACTTCCAAGCTGCGCGAGGACGGCAATTGGCAATTTTTGTTGATTGGCAGCGAACAGAAGCTGTATTACATCACTGAGAAACGTCGCGCTTCAAATTCTATATCTTCACGTTCTTTGCTCGCAGCGAATATTCTGTTTATCGTCGCATGTCCCCGCGAAAAGCAGGAAGCCACAGAGCTAATAATTGCTTTCACACACAGATTACCCCAGGCACCACCACCCCGTTTGACCTCGACGGCCGTTTTCTAGCGAGAAGATACCCTCCAGGTAAGCTTCCCGAATTGTTACTTTTTACGTGGATTTCTTAAAGGTCAAGCTTTACGATGGCCAAGGACGCGATCGTGGAGTCGGCCCACCGTACTCCTTGCAAGCCTAGGCTGTATTAACGAGATCATTTTGTACAATTATACCCCCGTATAAATCCGAACTTCAGAATGCAGAAGCTGAAATCTAAACGGAGAACCGATGTTGGCGTTTCTCTAGATGGGACCTCAAGAGTATGCTGACACTTTTCCTAGCAATAATCTACAATGGCAGCCATCTCAACCTTACAAGCACGCGACGCTATGCACCAGCTGGTCAAGCGAAAAAATTGGGCCGCTCAGGAAGCAGGTGTCGTCCTCGTCTTCTGCATTGTCTTCATCGTCGCCGTCGGCCTCATTGGCCTCTTTGTCTCCCGGTGGTTCAGCAGAAGAAAGGCAGCTCGTACATCGAGCTAAACGACTTATTAAAGAGGAAGACGATCTATAGTCGAAGCCATTTCAAAGAAGGTGGTCGAGGTGTCAGAATGGAAGAGGGATGTTCCACGACAATCGCTGTTTATATGAGGCCGGCCATTAGATAATTCCCGGCGCATTCAAAATATCGGGCTGCTTTTTTTCTGCTCGTGGTGCTATGGAAGGTCGTTTTATGTATGGGATGAGCATCGCTTTATACTGGTCTGGTTTGCTGTACCTAATTCCCCGGGGACGGCACGGTTATTATTTCCGGTAACGCATGTCCCTAATTTATAACAATTTCTACAATTTCCTTTTATATATGGGGTACCTTATATACAATAAATGTTGGGAGAGCGAGAAAGCAGATTTGGGTGACACATTCGCGGCCCAAGGCTACCCGTATTCTCAGAATCTAAATCGAAGCACTTCATCCACTACCTTATATATACTATCGTCATAAAACATCTTCTACAATCCCAATCAAAGGTCTTCTTCGAAATATACATCTCTAGTGCATAGCATAGCGGACTTTTAGAAGGATTTTAGACTCAAGGTTCGGCTGTTTGCGGAACTATTTCCTTCCAGTCTCGCATCTTGCCCTATTAGCAACAAAAGTCGGAAAAAGACCGAGATGCGGACCAGTTCAGGCCAATTCGAACCAGCCGTTCCTTACTCTATCGCTGAATATCACTGCAATATTTATTAGGTCGGTGTTTCTTAGGCTCTATAGTTTTTGCCGTCGGCCACGCTTTTCCAAACGCGCCTAAAGAGTTTCCTCCGCGTCTGGCTTCATGTAGAATGTTTCCACGGTCTAGGCACCTTCTGGGCTTCACCTCCACAATGACGTCAAGCTTGCAAGTGCCACTCGAAGCTGCTTGGATTTGCTCGGTCCGAAGAAGCTTGATGGAAACAAGATAAATGGCCCCCGAATTTGTCACGGTCGCTTTTCAGTCCGCGAGGGACATATGACCGAGTTATCGAGCAATCAAGTGGTTGTGAGGCACAACGCAATTCGGGAACTGGCCAAAGGTGCAATGACGCTGGGGCCAGAGAGCCTAAAGAGAGGCATCAAATAAGGCAATTGCAACGTCGTACAAGCAGCGTGATCGTTACTACCTTTGTTCACATGATCATTTCTACTTATGCACCTTGTACGCCTATTTGTCGGACACAATCTCGTTGCTTTCTATTCCTGCTTCACTGCCTCGTTGCCTCTTTGCCTTTCCACCTCAAGTCTTTATGGACCAACCACAGCACAATAGGCGGGTACGCGACCCGGCCCGTTGTGGACTCGGGCGTATCTTAGGGGCAATTCGTTGAGCGTATCAACCTCGATAACAAGGCAATTTGTGCTTCCCAAAGCCAAAAGCAATTATCAATTATGCGATTTCTCCCCTTGTCAGGTACTCGAGGCCAAGGATTGCGAGTCCAAGGCGAATCGGGTCCATTGCCCACGCGAACCTGTCCGGGGTTGAGAGGAGTCATCCACTTCTGCGCGCTCGTCTATCGCTGCTCATCTTTTCTAACAGCCCGCTGAACTCCCCGCAACCTAGAGTCCTGGACACGCGCTGCGTTGATACCTGTTGCAAAGCGCATCTTTTTCGTTCTTTTCGTTCTTTCCGTCCCATATCTCCCTCTCCCTACGATTAACGAATTTCCTGCTGCAATTTACGCCAGATCAACCGCAAAAGCCCATGTTTCAGGAGGTTAGTGCTGCTATGTGTTGGCAATTGCCTAGAAATGGAGGTGCTGATTCGAGGAATAGAATGGCAATGCCCTCGATTTAGTTCAATTGCGACGCGTTTGCTGGACCCTGGAATCCCGACATATACCTACGAATCAATTTCCCGCTCGTTTTCTGCGTTTCCAGTCTGTTGCGGAATATCGATGTGCGCGGGGCTGTTAAGAAAGATAGAGGACGATAGCCGCCCGCCTGCGGCCACGAGCGCGACCTCGACCTCGACGTAGCCCTTCATGCAACACGACATTCTCGAGCTTTCCTTCTCAATCTTGCCCGTTTATCATCAGTAACCCATGGCTGCCAAATATCGTGTTTCTCCGGTTTCAAATACTCCACTCTCGAATAGATATATCCAAGATGATAACGGAACAACGGCCGGGAATACAAGGCTGCCCACGGGGGCTTGCAATTTCACGAATTTAAGTGCCGCAGCAGGTGGTGGAAGTGCCCCGAAATGCGGGTGTAGGAGATATTGGGATAAGGCATTGGGTTATCCAGAGGGGCAGGCTGCAAAATCTGGGTTTTGCATGTGTGAGCATCATGCCTGCTTTCATGATCATGAACCCGAAGACACCCACACGAACAAGACTTTGGGTGACCTACATGCTAGCCAGGGCGTCTCCTCTACTTCGAAGCAGCCGGATATCCAGCAGGTGCCATTTCGAATCGAGCCAACTGGAAGAAATCCCATCCAGGAGACCTATACTAGCCGACGCACTGCCCAAGAGTCCCAACTTCCAGATACCCTTCGATGGAGCCGTTCTATACCTGCTGGGTCCCCAGAGGGCTTGCCAGCGATCCCATCCCAATGTCTAATCCCATCTGACAATGGCTCGGGCACTTCAGGCAGTCAGACGAGATACCTCCGGCCGTTTGGTGGCCTAGGACTCGAAACTCTGAGCAATATACAGAAGCGTGACTCTGGTGACGTGGCACGAACCATGAAGGACCACCCCCTGACCGAGAATACGCGTGCCCTCGAAGTCTATGAGGATGCAAACGGCAATGCGTATATGCAGAGTATTACAGAAGCCGCTACTCCAAGTGCAAGAGCATCGCAGGATATTGAACCTGAATTTGCTAGGAATATATCCGATGTTCAGGATGCCCTCGAGAAAATTGTGGAAGAGAGTCGCCGACCAGCGGAATCTATGAAGAGGTGTATAGAAACTAGATCTAGTACCCAGGTCTTAATCAAGCAGTCGGATTCGGTTCCCGGAATGGATTCAGTTTCTGTCGTCAACGATCCGGATGATTTGTTGATTCCCAAGCTTCGAAACATCATCGGTCATATGGCCAAATACCCGACGACAGTGCAAAACCACGAGCGACGCTTGGATCTTTTAGAAAATGCGTCATTTACCCATCCGGCCGTGGAGGATCTTCAGGAAGGGCATAACATCATGGACATGCGAGTTGGTGAACTCGAAGGTAGATTAGAGGAGCTCGAGAAGGCACAAATTGCTCAAAACGATGTCAGTAGTGTCGGCAGTCAACAGCATGCCGCACCTTCTATTGATTCCAGGATTTCAACAACTTCATCTGCTATGGTAGTAGCAGCTATGCATCAAGTTGACTCATCTCGGGTTGAAGCTCTCGAAGCCCAGGTAGCTGAGTTGCAAGCCTCTGCCCCTCCATCTCATACCCGACCATGGGAGGTTGAGGTCGTCTTCCTTCCCTTTGGGTCGAATCTCATGGGGGTTTGGCCATCACAAGACACTCTAGCTCAACGTTCGAGGGGAAATAGTACGGCTACAGATGGATGGACGCAAACCCAGAATAATTCTCTGGCTGCAGCTCAGGCATGCCTCACTGCCCATGACCGCACTTCAACTTGGGAAAAGTCTATGTCAGATTTTGCAACCGATGATGCTTCGTCATGGCTCATGGCTAGGGCGTGCAAAGCTCGAAGCAGGGTGGATGAGCGACTTAGGAGCAGAGGACTAGTCAAGTTGATTCAGATCTGCGGACCTGATGCCCGGGATGTCCAGGCTGCAATGATGTCCGCATTTGGAGACCTTCCGGGCTTGCTCGCCGAAGACCCTTTTACTCAACACGACGACGAGAACAAGGGTGCCACCCCTAGTTTCCTGTCGAAATATCTTGGACTGCAAGCTTCTTGGGTTCCGTTACGGAAGTTGCACAAGGACTCATCTCTTCGATTCCTAAATCCTTCCGAAATGTTGACCCCAGCACTTTGGACGGCACAGTTTCTTACTTCCAGTGTCGCTATGCGAACATCTGGTACAAGACGCCTTTTTGTCACGCAGCGAGATAGTTATATACAACATCTTGGTCCCGCTACAGCCTGGACATGGCAGAAGCTGCGCCAACTGCCACGGGTCTATCAAGATCAGTCCAGTTTTGACCACACGCCGGAAGCTGATGCACATGAGCCTTGCTGGGAGTTTGATGAACGTCTTGACTCACCTCCTCTCAGCCTTCACTCATCATTCGCATCCCAGATATCGTCGTTAAGCATCCGATCATTTGCCCACAAACCTGCTTCACCGTCCAACCACTCCTCGTCGGGCGCTAGTACCCCTACCCCCAACGCCTCCTCCACATCTACCTCCGTCGCGCCACCGGCCGATAGCTCACTCTCTCCCATTAAGGGACGAAACCCTTTCCGCCCAATTCACATCCGAACATCCTCCTTGCCATCCATTGCTCCCCTCAAGTCTTCTCCCTCACAGCCAGGCAAACGACGCATTGCCTCCTTCGACCACGAAACACAGTCATCGCCGACTCGTGCCACACCATCAATACTTAACCTAACTCTAAAACGTCGTCGTATCTCCCGTTCCCCTAGCAGGCCATGCAACACCCCCCGCTGGAGCGTGGGCCCTCCTAGCCCTTTTGCCTTCATGGACGATATCGCGGAACCTAATAAGCGTGGGACGACTCCGTTTGCCTACGCAACACCGCACAGCAACGCTCCATACATCGACCCAAGGCCTAGGAGTGATGTGGATATTGAGATATATCAGGATGAATATGATGATGATGAATTAGGCAGCACGACTGATGAATTGGACCTTGGCGTTGACGAAAGCGGTGGCTGGGAACAAAATGCTTTGAGTGACTATGAGCCCGAACCATCTGACGAGGAAGCTTCCAAGCATAGTGACAGTTTCCAGGCTCGTCAACTTGATGATGAGTGGGAAGGTGTACAAGATTTGGAGGATGGGTCACGGCTGCCTGGAAGATTTGGAAGCATTCGTGAGGTGGCAGGTCATAGTGCAGATGTCGATCGCGATGACGCGCAGAGTGACGCGAGTAGTCAACCGTCTGAGTACCCAAGTACTCAATACGACATGTTCTCTCGATCCAAAGCTGGATTCAAGATCCATGTTGACGAGGAAGCTGATGCGGGTGTGTAAAACAGCGCAGATCTAGTGATCTTGCTATTCAGTCGACGGGCTTGGGGATCTTATCCCGACAATGGCGAGGCTTAGGAATTGGCAGGATCGGCTGGTTTTACTTCTCCTTGCATATACGAAAGACGTGTTTTGGATCTTTTGGGAAATTTTCCTATATATATACCAGCAGGGAGCTTTGGCGTTTTTGGGTCGTATCTGGAGAAAGTCTTTGGCGGTATTTCCTATCTGACATCTACTTTTTATCTGGGCTTGGGAGATTTTATTGCCCAATATACTATAAGAAGATGCGTGGGATCGAGGGCATCGCTATGGAGACGTTTCTTTTAGATATCTACCCAGTAAGCAACAAGGCAAGTAGGAGATATATATGCGTTGCTACTCCACTTTTATGTATATATAGGGGTGTTGAATTACATCTCCAGACTACTCAACTGAATGCAGTGTGGTTTGATTAGAATGTGTTCTGCCGCGAACTAAATAGGTTGAGTCACCGTGAACCGCAAATATAGTGCCTTGTAGTAATAGATAAGGCGCATAGCTATAATTCCCGTCGAGGAGACTTTATACTTCTTCTAACATTTAAGTCTTCAGTCGGGTATCTAGTTTCAGCTGGGGAGGCTAGGCTATTTGGTGCGTGCATCGCCATCGTTGTCGCTGGTTGAACTTGAGAAACCCGGTTGGATGGTGAGTTTTGTGTGTATCGAAGGGAGTATACGTAAACACTATATTAATAGCTTCGAAGCCATTGATTTACAGCTGGTAGGTTGGTAAGTTGACAGAAGCTGGCTGGGAAGGTTTCTCATCGCGTATGGATCAGTGTCGGCGAGTAACCTGAACTCCAAAATAGGGTTAGCGAATCATGCCTACAGTATATCAATACGATTCACAACCCCAAGAGAACGAAGTCACGAATATTGTGTCAAGAACAGTTTAAATTCGATTTCATCTAGCTCAAGTCTCAAGACTGCATTCCCCTTGGAACATTTCCTTTCAACCGCCACATTTAAGCAGCAACTTAGTAGTCTATGGGGTATCTTCTTTCTTCTTTGGTTCCTTTGCATGCAAGTAACAGGGCCCCATCCCGGATGTTTTGTCCTAGGAGCCTCGATATCAAGTCCGTCGCATCACCGCCACCAGATTCTAGAACTAATGATCCGAAATGAACTCTAAATAGTCTTCTTGAGCTTTATCCCCGCACTCTTTAAGAGGGGGTTTCTTTGCGGCGAAATAAAATACCCGGCCGGCCATGCAAAGCGACTCCCTAATGGTTGGCCGGCTTCTTCCGAGGTGAGATACTCTACAAGAGCCATGACTGTGTCCATATGTTAGTAGGAATACAAAGTTGATGCGGCAAATCATGGAGGCAAGGCGCAGGCAACTTACAGATATAGGCACCCAAACCAGTGAGTAGATGCCACCAGCCATGTAGCTCAAGGATGAAGGACCATGGCATGCCGATTGATCGCTTTGCGTTGGTGAGAGTCTTGCAGGTCGCTATGTCGATGTTCCAGAGGGCAAACCCGCTTGCGAAACACACTTGGGAGGATTTAGTAAATTGAAATCGAGCTGGAATGAGATATGTGATGATGAATTCTAGGAAGGGGAGTAGGAGTATATGAGAAACTGAGAGACATACTGAAGCCCCATATGCTAAGCCTTCTCACGTCCTTCCGCACGCCTGGATCTGAGACCCGTGCGTTGACGATAGAGGAGGTTTTACGGGACACCATTAATAACATGATTGCTATTATGAAATCATATTAGCATTTGGTATGAAATAGGGGTGGATGGTTCTTACCGAATACAATCGAATGCATAATCAGCTCATTTGTGACGCAATGCCAGATACTGAAGGCGCCGACAATAGTAGTGATAGCTAAACCGTAGTAGATAGTAGTAGCGAGAGGTTTATCAAAAGTAAGAAGTCGATGCAAGACGGTGGCTGTTGCGAAAAGCATCGAAAGGTCATCTCCTAAAGGGGCGTTAGTTCTATAAAATGAATGTTGGGTAATTTGAAAAAGAAAAGTTCAGAACTTGATGGCGCATCCCGACAGAAAGCTATTATATGACTCATAAATGTTCGACAGATAGATATAGGAGGGAGAGGTAAGTGACTTGAGAGTGGGAATCTAACATACCCCATTGCGTGTAATCCTTCAGAGTGGCATGGAAAATGCCCGAACCAATGCCAACAGAGGCGAGGCCTAAATACGGAAGATTCCTCAATATCGCATCGGCGCGATTTGAATTTCCCTTGATGCCATAGTAGGCGTAGTATACTGTGTGACATGCATCAGTTGTTATTTTCGCTAATAATTGTTTGGTGCTGGCTCCTTTACCCCGCAAAAGAATGGTGAAAATCTTGAGAGAGCGGGGCTCAAGAGTCAAAAGCAGCGCGACAAGGCAATGAATACTGACTGTAACCAAGATTCGTCAAGGTATTAATGAACTCTGCGAAATACTTCGTGACGATGTAATCCTAATGCACCCCATCAGCGCCCGGTCATGCAACGGGTACCCTGAGCAACCGGTGGCTTGGGTTATTCAGCTATCCCCCACATACCTCTTCGCAAAAGCTACATCGCCCCTGTCAGCTTCGTTACATTATTGGAGGCCAAGAGCAAGAAACCCACTTTGCTTGTGAATTAATCTTTCCCCAGAAAGCCGGATGCGGATCCTCTCTGTACGGATATGAAAATGGGTTCTTGTGGCTTGTAGCATTTGCCTGCATCACTGCCAGATTCCCTTTGTAGTAATCCATGATTGCCGAGTACTTGAATATACGAACACGAAGTGCAATACGTAAGACGTGTTCTTCTTTTGTCTTAATAAGAAGATTTTGTACGAATAATACAGGAATAGAAGAGCTCCGTTTAAGGCGATAAACTTATTTATTCCAAGTTTTCCACGTACGCGTACTTGTGAGAGAACGTGCCAGGCGACAACCGATAAGAGAGCTCGTGATAGGATAAGATAATGCTCGCCAAGACATATCAAGAGACTGGTCCTGACTCGGGAGGTGGCGTTGTGTACAGAACAAAGGCCCCCTGTTTCAACTCCATCTTTTGCACGACCTGTTCGAATCGTGTATGGGAAGCTAGATCTCGAGTACGTATCTCTCTAGAGATATGAAATTATTGTTTTGGATATTTCTATTAAATCTACACAAGGTTTCATGACTAAAGCCAGAGGTCCTTGAATATACCAAGCAAATGCCAATACCAAAACCAGAGCGAAGATTTCGATATTTGACGCCCAAAACCATGCCACGAGATATATGCCAACGCCATTATGTTATTATGCCTTCATAACCGCTCTCGGGACAATGCCAATCCTATTATGGCCGCATAATCCCAAAGCCACGCCAGCCGCCGAGGACATCGTTGAATCCCTTGGAGTAGCCCAGAGTTGCTGCGCAACCGCTCTCTTCCCTCACTGCTTCTGCTTTCGGCACCCACTTCTCCATCGTCTCTATCCTAGAAGTATTCTTAACAAAAAGTGTTAGCTGTGGTACCCACCCTTTTATTAAGCCCTACTTACCGAAGGATGTGTCGACAGCCACTGTGGAATCTGGTCTGCTTGAGCAGCCTCCATACGCTGCCACACGCCAACTGCAGCGTTTGGATCATAGCAAGCCTTGGACATTATCATTAATCCAATATAATCCGCTTCGCTTTCTTGCTTCCGGGAAGCCGGTCTCATCAGACCAAAATCCATCGCAATATCCCCAGCGATCCGTCCCAATCCACCCGTGTAGCCCGTGGCATCTAGGAATATGAGCGCCCACCGGATGGGAGAGAGCATAACGAGTGAGGACATCGATTCCGCAGCGTGCTGGGCAAGATTATGTGCTATTTCGTGGCCCAGGATAGCCGCGAGACCATCATCTGTCTTCGCAATGGGTAGGATACCGCTATAAACGAATACTTTGCCTCCCGGGATAACGAAAGCATTCTTTTCTGTGGCCAGTTAACTCAAGACTCTCTCAGTCTCCCTGCAACAGAGCGTACCTGGGGAATTAATAACGTAGACCTCCCAATTCACATGCTCTAGTCCGCTTGCCGGTATTAGCCTCTTCATAACCCTCTCTACCATCCTCGCCCTAGGATCCCAGCTAGGCAAAATAGAACCCTCCGCATCTGCCATGATGTTGTGATACAATATGTCCCCTTGTTTCTCCACAGCTTCCTCGGTATAGCAGTTAAAGCGCTTCCTTCCGGAAACCGGCACCTCCTCTATGTTGCTGAAGTAAAATACGCCGGCCCCCCCGACTGCCACAATCATTATCCATTTCGACGACCGGCTTCGGAAAGCATTGGAGACTTGTTGGGTCGTGATAAGTGGTTTTGCTCTCCGTGCTGCTTCGGGGTCATATCTGACATGGACTACTCTGCCTGGATGTCGCGGAGGCTGAGGGGAAGAGGGAGGATATCTCGGAAATTCGGATCTAAATCTTTGGCTTGGTATTGAGGATCGCGATATGGGCCATAATGGAGGGGAGTATGTTTTGGAACGAGGGAGGGCAGGGCGACTAGCTCGAGGGAGGGCTCGTAGTGAGGCCCGAAAAGCGGTCTGGGAGAGCATGTTTCGTTCGCGCTTGTATCGCCATAAGAGCTCGCGCTGGTGTCGAAGCGCAGCAGTCTTTCTGGTGCTGATTGATTCGTGAAAGTCTCCTCGGCATCGAGACTCGGCGCTGGGTTCGGTCACCCATGTGGCATAACAATCAGCCCTACGCCACGAAATATGGGTTATGAATTTACAATATGTAAGGGGCAAATGTCTCTGAGACATTCTCTTTTCCATTTCATGAATTGTTTCAATCGCTCAAGTTACCTATTAGGGGATTTCATCAACTAAGCTCAAGGTTTTAGAAGGTCCTCCATATTCAAATTCCACCCCAAAATACAAAAAAGCCCCAACTAGCAAAGTAGTACTATTTCCGTTGATTCATTAGAGGTTTCCCAGTGGTCAGCCCAGCTGAAAGCCAAATCCCAAACAAAATGAAGGGTTGTAAAGAGCTCAGCGATAGGAGGAGAGCAAGTATCCAGCCAATAGACTTCCTAGCATAGTACAATCCCTTTATTCAAATGTCAAGATCCAACCATTATCTTCGCGTTCATTTTTGCCATTCAAACCTCCCCAAAGAACGACCCCACCCGCATCCATATCCCCCAGACTCGAGCTGGCAAACCAGCCTCTCTCCCTGGGTACTAGGTTATGCACCTCCTCGCCTTCAACGCCTTCAGCATCCGATATATCTACCTGGCTCCAAAGCCCTTCGCCAGTCTCCCTTCCCAACGCCTGTAAAGTCGCGTCTGTAAGGCTGGCAGCGGTCATGCCTAGAGGTGGACATTGGAAGGCCCAAACATCATTCCAAAATTTGCCCGCGCCCTCATGCCCCTGGGTACTTGGATCCCTTTCACCAAACATCAGAATCAGATATTCTCGCCCCATACCGGTATTAATCGTCTGTAGACCAGCTACACTCCGATTTCCAGGGCAATGCATATTCTCCTCCTTGAAATCCAACGTGGTCCACCCACCTCTTGCGCTCAACCCTAGTTCACCAACCCCCCCTTTGTCGGTAAATGTCTGGAGTTCAAGCTCCAAGAAATCCAGCTTGCCACCCTGTTCTCCTTCGTCATTGAATCCTCCGTATCGGAATATCCTCTGCTTCGAGACCGCGATCGAAGTGCCGCCCCTCGGGTTTCCGGGGGCATCGGGATATTGCTTCCAGGTTCGACTCATGACATCAAACCCCCATAGATCATTTACCCTCCCGCTACTAAGACATCCTGCATGTATGAAGAGCGTCCCGTAGCCACCCAAATCTTCATCTGTCTTCGCGCCTTCGGCAATAGTTCCCGGTGGAGGGGTCTCCAGTCCTTGGTCGATAAATACACTTTTCATATTATCGGGTTTGGGTTTCTGGATTGCGACGCTCGCATGATAGGAGCGAGCTTCAGGATAGGGAGTTCCCTCTACCGGGTCGAGATATGTCCAAGCATCACGTCTCGTATCGTAAATCCACACCCTCCCGTTTTCCTCCAATGGCTCCATATCCGTTCTTCCTCTGCCGCCAAATATGAATATCCGTTCCCCAATAATTGCAGATGTATGCCCTACTCTCTTTTCTGGTACTTCCCCGCCAGCGGTTTCGGGTCGTGCTGGTATCGAACGGTAATCCGCCGATGTGACGGTCCCAGAGGGCAATGTGATAACGTGCATGTCATTGTCAACCGGCTCTCGTGGTTTAGTTTCGCCGCCGAATATGTATGCTCGTCCTGCGACCACGGAGAGAGAATGGGAGGACCGAGGGAGACCGACGGAGTCTATTCGTTGCCATTTCGCCTTTAGTGGAGGTACTGATGGCGTGAGACTGTGGATCACTTTTGCTGCAGCTGCTTTGATTTCCATGACTGGGGAAATATTGTTGAGATTCGAAATGCTTTAAGGTAGATTGGAGTCTAGAGTTGTATTGTGAGTTTGAGTTTGGGCTTAAGCTTGAGAAGTGGGTTGATAGCTGGAGGGAGGGGCAGCGAGGAAACATATTGAAGCCCAACACAACTACGTCATCCAGACAGGGATAAATATGGGGCATCATTTACAAAGCATTTTTTAGTACAGTAAAGTTCGAAATCGGCGTCAGTTGCGCACAGCTTCGACTATATCAAATCAGGGGTTTTACTAAATCAAGGAAAAATGTCTTAATCGGCTGTCAATATGCAGATATCACATGTTCACTTTCCGCCAAAAGTGAGTCCACTAATTCCGCCATTGATGTTCCCAACTTGAAAGCCCGAGTTCTGAGCACTGAACGTCACCGTAATTGAACCGCTCTGGTTCCCCGCGGCTCTCGCAACAGCTTCTTCCTGCGACTTAGACAGTAGCTCATTTAGTAGCTTCTGCGACGCTTTCACCCCCTTGAGTTCTTCTTCGAGTTGTCGTAATTCCTCAGTTTTACCTTCCCTGGATCCAGTCGCTTCATCATCATCGCTGCTGAGGTTCAGCTCTTCCAGCTTGTTCTCTAACACTACCACCTGTCGATCTGTAGTAGTAATGGCACCCTTAACCTCAGTCTGCTTTGTAGATATCATCTTCATAATATCTTCCGTGATATAGCCCTAGCGGACGGAACTGTAACTATTAATGCAAGGTTAGCTCATCTTCTGCACGGAGCAAGTAGAGTTGCTTACAAGGTCGCTATACTGACGACGGAATTAATAGTGAGCTTGCAGTTTGCAAGTTGGTCTGACATAGCCTTTATTTGCCCTTTCTTCAAAAATCCCACATTTGCTTGATCCTGCCATGCTAATTTTCTATTATTTGAGTGTCTTGTCCATCGCTGGAGGTCGGCTCTAAAGATATTGCATGCTCGTGTGCAGCTGCTAATGGTCGACTCGAAGTGCTCAGCTATGCTAGCGCCAAGTAAGTCCCAGTCTCTATCATTTACACTTTGGAGTAATTTGAGTGCCGAGCTGACAGATTCCACATCTTCCACAAGGCGCTTGACGGTTTTAGGTGCATCTTTGAGCTGCTGCAGATCTTCTAGAAGTAGTCGTGTGCCGTGTAAAGCTGGCACAATAATACCTACGGCACTAGCGGTAATGCTAAGTGGATCGGCCATTTGTGCTTGTTCATGATAAAAGCAAGGCTAAAATGAAAGTGTAAACCTTAAGCTGAGCGGTTGGAAGCGCCGTTCAATCTAATTGGAGGGCAACCTCGAGACGTTGCAGCTGAAGGATAGCGAAACTACATCGACACACTCAGCTGCTGTCAACCTTCGTCGCAAAACCGCTCTGCTACGATGGCATCCGTGATATCTTTTAACAGCTCTAACTCTGGCTTCCAAGCCGGAACAATCAACGGTCCGGTCAATACTGAGCATCATCACCATGCCGCTGCTGGTGAGTTGGGTCCGGACTCGAAGCTGACTGCCGCTGACGATCGCCCTGCCCTAGAGCGACTAGAAACCCCACCGAACCCGTCGGTCGTCATACCCTTCAGTCGCGACACAGACTTTGTCGAGCGAGGGATAATACTTGATCAGATCCACCAGAAATGCGCTGTCCTAGGGTCTCGGACTGCGCTAGTTGGCCTAGGCGGCGTCGGGTAAGGCCAAACGGGTTTGCAATAATACGGATAGTTAACTGTTGCGAAGTAAGTCGCAACTCGCTATCGTGGGTTTTCTGGGTCCACGCAAGTAATACCACCCGGTTTGAGCAGAGCTTTCGAGATATTGCAAACTGCGTCAAGGTCCCTGGGCGGCAGAACCAACAGGCCAATGTATTCCAGCTTGTGCACGACTGGCTGCGCAGCGATAGCAAAGGAAAGTGGGTTCTTATCCTTGACAATGTAGATGATGCTAGCTTCCTCTTCGAGGCTCCAGGCGCCAGTCAGAATAGGAAAATGACAGATATAGAGAGGATCAGCTCGCAACCGCTCATATCGTACCTTCCGCAATGCCAGAACGGGTCGATTCTCATCACAACAAGGACTAAGGAGGCTGCTTTGCAGCTCGTCGAAGAGAATAGCATGATTGCAGTGGAGCCTATAGAAAAGCCCCACGCAGTAGCACTACTTGAGAAGAAGCTAGGAATGCAATGGGACAGCAATGACAACGGCAACAACAATGACAATAGCAACAACAATGACAATAGCAACTACAATGGCAATGGCAACTACAATGACAATGGCAACGACAGTAACATCAGTGAACTAGCAGCAGAGCTAGAATACATGCCGCTTGCTATCGTCCAAGCAGCGTCATATATCTCCCAAAGAGCCCCGAGGTATTCAGTACAGCGGTACCTAGACGAGTTTCGGAAAAGCGACCGTGAGAAATCAAGTCTCCTGGACTATAAAGCAGGGCATCTTCGAAGAGACCGAGAAGCCAAGAACTCCATCATTATCACGTGGCACATGTCATTCGAGCACATACGTCAGAGCAGGCCATCGGCAGCTGACTTACTGTCTCTGATGAGTCTGTTTGACCGGCAAAGGATTCCAGAAGTGTTGCTTCATAACCGAGTTGAAATTGAGAGTCCTAGCCAGTTCAAACAAAATAATCAGCAGAGAACATGCTCTCGTCGCAACAGACGCCGTCATAGAGGCCAGAAACGAGATGGAAAGAGTAGTGGGCGCATTAGTGAATTTGAGGACGACCTGCTCACACTAAGAAACTACGCGTTTATCTCTGTCTCTGAGGCCCAGTCAGCATTTAAAATGCATGCACTAGTACAGCTAGCAATGAGGACGTGGCTGGAAGCAAATGGACAGATAGAAAAATGGAGGCGACAATGTTGTAAGGTGCTTTGTACCGAATTCCCAACGGGAGAGTACGAGAACTGGGCCAAGTGACAAGAACTCTTTCCGCACGCGCAATCTGTAGTAGTACAGCAACCTGAGGAACAAGACTCATTAAGAGACTGGGCTTCAATACTCTTGAAGGCAGCATGGTACGCGTGTAATACAGGAAAATTGGCAGAGGCAGAGAAGATGTCGGTTCAGGCAATGGAAGTTAGAACGAGGATTCTTGGTCAAGAGCATAATGATACGCTAAATGCTATGACAATGGTAGGCTGGGCGTATATGAATCAAGGCCGGTGGGACGCTGCCGAAGAGCTATTATTACAAGTAATAAAGACGAGCAAGAAGAAACTCGGAGTGGACCATCCAGACACGCTGACTAGTATCAACAACCTAGCGTCAACGTATATATATCAAGGCCGGTGGGACGCTGCCGAAGTTCTGCTTGTGCAAGTTATAGAGATGCGCAAAAATAAACTCGGAGTGGACCATCCAACCACGCTGACTATGATCCACAACCTAGCGTCAACGTATATGAAGCAAGGCCGGTGGGACGCTGCCGAAGAGATGTTTGTACAAGTAATAGAGACGAGTAAGAAGAAACTCGGAGCGGGCCATCCAAGTACTCTATCTAGTATCAGCAACCTAGCGTTGACGTATATGAAGCAAGGCCGGTGGGACGCTGCCGAAGTTCTGTTTGTACAAGTAATAGAGATGCGCAAAAAGAAACTCGGAGTGGACCATCCAAACACTCTATCTAGTATCAACAACCTAGCGTTGACGTATATGAATCAAAGCCGGTGGGACGCTGCCGAAGAGATGTTTGTACAAGTAATAGAGACGAGTAAGAAGAAACTCGGAGCGGGCCATCCAAAAACGCTGGCTAGTATGGCCAATCTGGCGCTTGTGTGGAAACACGTCGGCAAAGAAACCGACGCTATATGACTTCTGGAGGAATGTATACAATCACAGAAACGTGTCTTGGGACTTGATCATCCAAAAACTTTATCATCCTGCAGAGCTTTAGTTGAATGGAAGGCCGAGCAAGAGGCTGTTGAATTGTCAGTCTAAAGGACTATGGTCAAGATGGATAGATTAGATTGATTTGTCAAGAGTATAGTATGATGTTGGTACTGTATAAATACGCGTTGAGCAAGCAATAGAGCTGACGGTCCGTACAGCACGAGCAAAAGCATTGAGGCCGCTTTCGCATCTCGAAACTGTCTGCTACTGTACAGACAGGAGCCAGTCATCTGGAAGGCCCAGCAAAGACATTCTGGCAATAGAGGAAGAGAGAAACTGTACTCAATGCCGATATTGGGAGTATTAGCTAGTAATATTTAGGAGTGCGGCCGTACATTAAAGTAAAGCACAAAGTAGATGACACGATCAAGGAGCTAGAATCTGCCTCCACGTAAGTGCCGTGTAAAATGTAGGTCAAAATAAAATCATTGAGTGGTCGGAACTGAAGCCGATTTCGAACTTTACTATACTTCCCGGCTTTTCTTCCTTGAGTAGTAAAAATACGAAGTAGTACGCAGAAACACCAAGCACCAGGATACAAGCATACCGTATTTCTCACCAGTTAAAATCCCATCCGGTTCATTGGCTTAAACTTTCTTGCGAGAATCTCTCTGCAAGAAGGAGACTTCTTTTTCTAGCACCCTATAATGATGGCCCCAACTAGTAGTCCGTTTGTGCTTGCTCGGTTCTCCTGAATCTATTGCTTGAGATTTCCATTGGGATAGTACTGTAGCTCAATATATCCCATTTTAAGACCAATAGACAAACATTTTGCGATACGTGGGTGGCTGCCTAGGACCATATCAACGTCAAGCTCGGTTTACATACCTCGACGTTCTGTTGTGTAATGCCCTGATCAGCACAGCATGCCATTCCTTCCGTGCAGTGCTACCGATGAGATAAGTTCTGGCGCCCATGCCAACCATAAGCAGCTCGCACTATATCTGCTGCGTAGGCATTGTCATGAATCTCGGGGGTGAGGTGGAACATGGGTTATGAACTTAACGCACGTAAGACCATGGGAAATGCAGGGAGCAAGGACTTGCCCATAGCATCGACCAGAAATGGGGAGCGCTAGTCCGGATTAATTTCGACAACTCCATTCCCTATAGCTAAACTTGGGTAGGATCATATTAGACAACCTATAATAAGCACAGAGTAGATTATACGGCGTATGACTCTTATGGGCTGGCCCCAGCCGCAGTAAAAAATATAATTTGCTAAGACCTTCCTAAGTGGGAACCGTTACATGCAGGCCTAACTGCTTCCGCTCAAGAACAATACCAACACCGCACCTTAGACATTCTTCCCCAAAAGATTAACATTTCTCAATTTACCTTTCTATTCATGTGCATAAGCATATACAGGTATAAATACTATACAAACATAAGACTGGTATCACTTGTCTGCGAAAAGTGCTCAACGAACAAGTAGAACTTCAGTCTGCCCACCTTTGTTTTTGTTTCCCCGATTAGCCAAATCATTGAGTAACAATACAATGCCTGAAACAACATCGCTCGATGTAAAAGTAGTTTCGACCACAACCGTCTACCCATCATCTCACCAAACCTCAGAACCAAAAACAACTCCCCTCTCCATAATCGATTCCACCGTCTCCTACTACGCCCGGTGCGCAGCAATCTGGTACTATGACCCCCCAACCAATCCCCAGACCACCCTCACATCCACGCACCTTCAAGCAGCGCTCTCCGAGACGTTAAACGCATACCCTCAGTGGTGCGGGCGTCTCCACTACGCTTCTTACAACCCCAACATCAAGGGCCATACGAATCGCTATCGAAGAGTGCAAGTTACATTCAACGCCCCCACAGATATCGGAGTTCCATTCGTTACTGGGACATCTTCAAGAAATCTTTCGGACTTCCTCCCCGAAACTGAGGCACGGAAAGATTCGATAAAGGCATGGGATGCATCTCAAATGCCATCGAACGAGCTCTACCCCGCAACCCCACTATCTCTAAGTGGCGAAGCAACTCCTGAAGATGCACCAAATGTCACTATTCAATTGACGACTTTTGCGTGCGGGAGTACAGCAGTGGCTATCAATATCACGCATTCCCTAGCAGATGCGCAGACCTTATCTCAGTTCGCCAAGGATTATGCTTCCATTTCACGAGCTCTCATGAATGGGGAGCCTCTCCCAAGACTGTCCCCGATATTTGATCCTCAGCTTCTTGATGCTTTCGCGGCTGGGGATATTGATGCTGAGACACCAGATCTGGAGTTACAAGAACAAGCCCGTAAGCTGCCATGTCATAGATATGACAGAAACGCCCCCAAACTACCCAAGGATTGGGATACTGTAGCACATTTGCCTTTAAGCCCCAGTACGCCCATGCCTTGGGATGAATGGGATTTTAAAGCTGCAGTTGCGCATCGAGTGCTACATTTCGCTCCTAAAGAAATAGAGCACATGTACGCACTTGCCAGCTCCTCCACGACTAAAATCTCGAAACTGGATGCTTTGCTCGCACATATTTGGGCTCAGATCAACAAAGCGCGAGAGCTACCTCCAAACACGGTGACCTACTTAGATATGACCCTCGGGCTACGGGCTCGTGTCAACCCACCTCTGCCGGCCTCATTTCTAGGAAGTCCCATCCTCTCGGCCGCAATATCCACGGCGACTCCTGCATCGCCATCCATTGCCCCGTCCTTGTCGGGGATCGCAACTCAAATACGCAGCACGGTTCAGAGTTTCACACATTCGGCTGTTGCCGCCATGCTCCACGATTCTGCCTTTGAAGTCAGCCCACAGCGACTATGGAGGTGCTTCTTGGGCAGTAAACATGTGTTGCTTACGACTTGGTTGCATTTGGGGCTGCAGGAGGTGGATTTCGTTGGTGCTGGGAGGGGTGGCGGGAAACTGAGGCATGTTGCGCCTGTTATGCCTGCTTGTGATGGATTGGTGGATATATTAGAGACGGTTAGTGAAGAGTCTGGGGGGACTGCACATTGGAGCAGGAATGGTGTTGATGTCAGTGTATATTTGGAGGACGGGGCTATGGGGAGGTTGTTGAAGAACAAGGGGCTGTGGGGTGTTGGTAGTGAGAGTTGAAGCAAAGGGTTATTTTGATTCCCTAGTTGAGAAGTTGTGCGAGGTCACTGTGGTGATACTCGTATACCCAGGGTGGTCATGTGCTGAGGCTGAGTGAGATTCGTGGATTGGCCTGGGCTAACGCTTGCTGGAACTGCAACACCAACCACGGCCTATCAGTTCGAAACGATCCCATGCCATCTAAACCCCTAGGTAGCACAGATATATCACAACATCGCTGACAGCAGTGGGCAGTGAGCAGTGAGCAGCAGTGAGCGTCAGCCCCAGTCTCGCAAGTCTTCGACTGGAAACTATGGGGGCGAACACTAACTACCCAACTTTGGGGCCCCAGATTGGTGTTTCAAAATAACCCTCGTCATGTTGACAGCGAAAATCAAATCAAATCAAAACAGTCGCAGGCAAAATTGCTCTCAGATTGGAGATTTCCTCCTGCGGTTACCTGTGCCTCGTTTTCTCCACAGCACTCACTCGAGCAAAGCCAAGATGATCGACTGCGAGCGGGGTAATGACAGTTGCTGGAAATACATGATCAATGCACATGAGCATGCAGAGAAATGTCTTGCCCTTTTGTTTCCGTTACTCATCAGCCTGTTCATATAATCCGTAGGTTCCGTGGCAACCTGCTGGCTAACAAGGTGTCGCGTGCTGGATCCCCGGATATGCCGGAGGATGACAGCACCGCTCAGTAGGGGATGACAAAATATCAAGTACCTAGGTAGCAGGTATCGAGCCTTATGCACAGGATTTCCTTGCCGGCGCGCCGCTACCAAGCTGCCGTCTCAGCCGGCGGAACTCAATTGCGGGAGGCTGGACAGTTGTCCTTCTCACCGCGTCCCTGAGGTGGCAACATGCGCAGGTAGCACCTAACTTTGCAGCGAAGAGTTGCAGTGAGGGGGGGTCGAAGGAGTGAGGCTGCTCTCGGACTGGTAGCCTGTTGGTGAGGTGACGTTGGGGGATTTAAACCCAACCCATTATTGAAAAGCCCAGAGGGATTGAAGTTCGAACTTTACGGAGTACTGCAGGCATTATCCTAAGCTGTTTCAGGCTAGCGTTTCCACCGGCGATAAGACTGATCCGGCGGCTACTTATCAACTTATCAACTTATCACGTTGCCAACCTTGAACCTTGCGACCAAGTACGTAGGTACACAGCACCTTGTACACAGCAAAGGTTTGTTAGCACACCTTGGCGTATACGGAGATATCGGCTCTTTGTCTCTCGTTTGGGTACGAGGTACTGTATTATCATTCATCAACATGAAATAGTTAACGTAGTAACTATAGGTTAGATATGATAGGCAAGCAGTAGATAGTAGATAGTAGAATAGGACTGGCCCTGCCGTGATACTATTACCATACCATATGCCAGCCGGCATTTACCAACACGCTGCGGACGATTAGAGTGTACTGCAACCTGCTGATCCTGTCAGCATCGGCACCAGCATCCAGAGACGCCGTGCCCATTATTATTGTCCAACTAGCAAAACTGTGCCGGCAGCGGTACACTAACAAACACTGGCGCAGGCGTTGGTTCACCGGATCCGCCACCACCGCCTGTCGGCGCTGCTCTAGAAGCCGAGACACTTGACGGGGCTGACTACGTACTGTACGTATATGTACCGCATATAGTCCACTACGTATAGGTTTATTTATCAGCATCACTCACGCCTCTCCACCATGACACCGACAACCTACAACCTACATAAATAACTAGCCGTCTGTTCGCTTTCCATCACCCACGATTGGGCTTGAGCTCTCTCTCTTCTCTCCCTCGACTGTGTCGAATATACCCTCGCTGCTCACGCATGTTCTGGTAACTGTTAACAAGCCGCAACACATCTCC